TGTTCACTTCATGGCTCCATTCCTTGGGTTTTGCTTACCTGTGGTTCCGTGCAGTCTTTGGGGATTTTGATGTTTTGGTGAGTTTCCCTTTTCTCACCGGTGATAACCCTGTCCTGGAAGTCTTTTTCCTTTGCACTGATTGGTTTCCCCAGCTTTCTAATGATAACTCTTTTTTCTTCCTTTTCCTGTTTTGTCTGTCCAAGTTATGTGTGCCCACGGGTCATCATCCACGCGTTGAGACCCCTCGGTCTGGTTCCCACCTGTCACCTCTTGTCTTTCCTCTTTGCACTCTCACTGGGGGCTGAGTGTTTTATGCTTAACTGTTTTTTTTTTCCTCCTGGGAATCGAACTCAGGACCTCGTGCTTACCAGGCAGGTGCTTGTCCACTGAGCCGTACCCCTGGCCCGCCTGGTGTTTAGAGCCCTGTCCTATCCCCAGCCATTTGCAGGGCTGCAGCTCAGTTTTCTGGCCTCCTGGGTGCAGTGACACTGCTCCCTCTGCCTCCTGCCTTTGGTGGCTGTTGCCCTTCGTTTGGTTTTGTTACTTTAGCCTTTGATTGTTATCTTTCTTAAGGTAGTTAAAAATCAAGAATAGAAGTCCTTAGGATATGTCTGTATATTTGACTCTTTTTTTTTTTTGGTCTTTTTGACACAGGGTCTCCCTGTGTAGTTTAGGTTGGCCTTGAACTCACTGGCCTCAAACTTCCGGCAATCCTCCTGCCTCAGCCTCCTGAGTGCCAGGAGTACAGGTATGCACCACCACACCCGGCCTTGGCTTTTTTTTAATAGCTCAAAATACTCAAACTTGTTGGTTTCAGACCCATTTATATTCTTAAGAGTTACTGTAACATCGAAGAATTTTTTAAGAAAATTGTAATCTTAACAGTATTTACCATGCTACAAATTAAAGTAACATTTAAAGAAAGCAGTGAACACTCTCCTTTTCATTTTTTTTTTAATAAAAATATTTGCCAAACGAGATTAGAAGGTAGTGAAATGACTTGCAAGTTCCTTCCCTCTCATGCTCCCCCAGGAGGCCCTTGGCTCCCGCAGCTTCCTTCACTGCTGTGGGGATTCTGCAAAGAGCTGGCTCCACGAAGGAATGCGGTGGAGGAGGTGAGGCACTGGAACATCCCTTGCTGATCCTGCTCTCAAACTCAACACGCAGTCGTTCTCAAACATTCATTGCAATTTGGAGTTTGAGTTTGAAACCATCATCAATCATCTTTCTTTAAAATTGAGATATAATTCCCTTGACCTTAAATTCTCCATTTTTATGTGAAGGTTGTGGAGCTGACATCACCCAGAGCACCTTCCCTGAGCCAGGAGGACACTGGCCGCCACTCCTTCACCTGCTGTGCGTTTCTCTCCGCCTTCAGCCCCTGGCCATCGCCAGTCTGCTTCCTGCCCCGTTCCTGTGGATCCCAGCCCTGGGCAGTTCACTTGTATTAGTGAGCTCTCCCATCACGGCCGCGATACCTGACACCCACCATTTAAACTAGGAAAGGTGTCTGTAGCTCTCGATTCAGTTCAGGAGATGCAGGACAGTGTTGGCCGGCTCCAGGGCAGGCTGCCTGGGTGTCATGCTGTGGGGTGTGGCGGCAGAGCCACTTGCTTCATGGCGGCCGGGAAGCAGCGCAGGAGACCAGTGTTGGGGAGGAGCGGATGATCCCACGTGTATCCCCAAGGTCACATCGCCAGGACCCACCAGCACCCAGGAGCGCTTCACTGTGCTCTACTGGATGTCTCTGAACCCAGTGACATGGACCGGTCAGGGCTAAGGGTCATGTGTGCCTGGCATCATAGAACATGTGGCTTGTGTCTGGCTTCTTGCAGGAGCATAAATTCCCAGTTCCCTCCGGCTCGCACAGGTGCTGGTGTCTGTGCTCTGTTCCAAGTAATGTCCCACGGGTGCTTGCCGTGCTGTGTGTACCCCTTTGCGCCCGTGTGCAGTGTTTCTTGTGAGTTATGCTGCTGTGGGTGTGAAAGTTCCCGTGGACTTGTTTTCACTCTTTGTGGGTGTGTGCTGAGGGGAAACTGCTGGGTCACACGGTCATTCTGTATTTAACTTTTTCAGGGTCTGCCAGGCTTTCCACAGCAATGTGCCCTTTGACTTTCCCACCAGCCACCTCCGAGTCACTGTGTTCTTTGTCCTGAACAAGTCCTTTGTGTTAGCTTTTGAGTAGCCCCTGGAGGGAAAGAGGTGGTGTCCATGTAGCTTCGATCCACATTTCCTTCCTGATGCAGGGTATAGGGCCTCATTATGCACTTATGGACACTTACAGATCTTCTTAGGAGAAATATTTATTCAGATTTCCAACCCATTTTATTTTGTTTTTTGTCTTTTTTTTGAGACAGGGTCTCGCTATGCAGTTCAGGCTGGCCTTACGCTCACTTTGTAGCCCAGGCTGGTCTCGAATTTGCAGCGATCCCCCTGCTTCAGCCTCCTGAGTGCTGGAGTTGCAGGTGTGCGCTGCCACACCCAACTCCCTGCCCATTTTAAAATGAGATCTGGTTTTTTTATTGTTGAGTTATTCTTTTTGTATCCTAGATACTAGGTCAGTGAACTTTTTATGCTCTGCTTTTTTACTTTTTGTCTTTTTGAGACAGGGTCTCACTATGTAGTTCAGGCTGGCCTTGAACTCACTTTGTAGCCCAGGCTGGCCTGAAACTCAGACACTCCTCCTGCCTCAGCCTTGTGAGTGCCGGGATTACAGGTGTGCGCCACCACGCCCAGGCTTACAGTCTGCTTTATTAAAACCTCCTTCCTGGGACTTTAGCGCCCACAGTGTCACAGTATCCTGCATCGGTGGTTTAGAGGTCGGCTTCACGGAGTGCACAGGCCCCAGGCCTCGCAGACTTCGTAATAGCACAAGGCATCACATGGTTGCTGTTGCCCGGCCTCAGCTGAGGGTCTTTCTGTGCTCAGAGTGTGCAGCTTTTGGTGGTGGAGACAGATTTTCCAAAATGTTAAGTTTTGCCTGAGATTCATATTTTGTCACCAGAAACAAGTACTCCGGGTGGTTCTTGGTGCCCTGCGCACTTGCCTCTGCTCGCAGTGCTACACTTGCTGGCTAGAGACAGCGCCTCACAGGTCTGGGGTGGTGCGGCTCAGAGGCCCCACGGAGGTCCCTGTGTCACCTTCCCACATGGTACACGGGAGCCAGCCTGGTGCTGTGCTCCGTGTGCTTAGCAGGATGTGAGGGACTGTGCTGAAGGGCTGGGCTTCCCTGCCCGCCCCAGGACCTCGGCAACCTGCGTGGAGCCATGACTTCTGACCATCCATGCCGACGCAGCAGAGAAGGAGGGCAGGACACAGAGCTGGCGTCATCCCTGGAGGTGTCTCAGAGCCCTGGGGTCCCCACGCCCTGCTTGGCAGGCTGGAGGCACTGCGCTGCCATCTGTGTCCTCTTGCTTTGCGTGCTGGCCCTCCACAGCACGTTTCATGGTTCCTCGTGCTGTCGCAAACTCGCGGAGCCTTGTCTGTTCTGACGGGGACCTGGTTCTGCCTGCCTGCACGTGTGAGGTTCTCTGCTGGCTCTGGAGCCCTGGCGGGTGGTCTGTCCCAAGGAGACCTGCGGGGTCGCGCTGGCCTCTGCTGGCCGGGGTGGGCTGACGGTTCTGCCCGCTGATTCCAGTAGTTCCGACTCTGCAGTGTGACTGTGTCTCCTCTCTCCACCTGATCCCCTGGCTCAGGCGTGGGCCGTGGGGCCTGTCCTTGGCTCTCAGCAGCCAGCTTTTCCATCTTGCTGTGGTTATTCTTTTTCTTTCTCCTGCTCATTTCCAGCTTTCACATTGGTCTGTGTGGTTTGACACAGGTGTCGGAGATAGTAGCAAATGTTTCATTCACCGTGTTTAGTCTCTTCCTTGATCGTTTTAGTGGTGTATGATTACATTGGCTTGTAAGATGGTCTTTCCATCAAAAACTGAAATGAATTTGCATTTTAAGTAGAAGGATATATTTTTATATGGTACTTTTTAGTGGTTTTACTTTCCTTCAAAAAATACTACTGTATCATGTATTTTTGTTTTGTTTTTTGTTTGACTTTTTGGTTTTGTTTTTGTTTTTTGAGACAGGGTCGCACTATGTAGTCCAGGCTGGCCTTGAGCTGCCCGTGTTGTCCGGGCTGGCCTTAGACACACGATCCTCCCCCTCTGCTGCCTGGAATGCTGAGGTTCTAGTCATGCACCCCACCGGGCCAGCTTCTCTGTGATTTCATCATGCTCACAACATTCAGTTGTGGGTTTGTCTTTTTTCGTGTTTTCTAATTCATTGCTTTTTATATTTACCTATGTTGACTTTTTTCCCTGATCTATTTTTTAGTTTTAAAGAGAAACCACAAATTACCTTTTATCCAATACTTGGGGTTGGACACAGGGCCTCACCCTGCCCTGCCTTCCCAGCCCCCTTCATTTATTCGTTTGAGACAGAGTCTCGCAAGTTGTCCCGATGGGGCGAGCTTGCAGTCCCCCTGTCTCAGCCCCTCAGTGCTGGGTGTCAGGTGTGCGCCCGACTTTCCCGGTCCAGTCCAGCCTGCTGTATAATGACAACCCTGCAGGCCTCCCCTCCTATCTGGCTGACTCTCAGCATGGCCCACGCGTTTTCCCCATGCTGTCGGTTCACAGTGCGCTTTGACTGTCAGGTATTAGCACTTGCAGGAGGGAATGCTGGGTTTCTAGCTTTCCAGTGCCGTGCAGCTGGCATTGTGCCAGGATTTGAGTCAGTGCTGTCTGGCGTGCCCAGGAGCTGTGACCTGTGCCCTGCCGGGCTCTTCACGTTTGCTGATGGTGTCAGGGAGCGTGTTCCACGCACAGACCAGGTCGCTGGTGAGCGGCCTCTCCATGCTTTGGCAGCTATGCTGTGAGGGAGAAGCCTTGGTGGGTGCCCGGGTGCAGGGGACCCCAGCCCTGGGAATCTCCAGGCCAGAGCTGCAGCGGGTGATACGGGGGCTCCAGGTGTGAGAGCAGCCACTTTCTTAATGTGTTTCTCTTCTACCTTAGGTGAATCTTAAAATGAGAGAGATAACAGAGAAGGAAGTTAAGTTAAAGCAGCAGTTGCTGGAAAGCCCGGCTCATCAAAAGGTAAAGGGCAAGTTTAATTTCTCCAGAATGAACTAAGCCAGTACTGGTGCTAGTTCCTAAGGGCTGCACCTGTGACCCATGTGCTGATTCCTTTTACTGGTCCTGCAGAGCTGGCCCAGGGCTGTGGTGGCCTCATTTGCCCTTAGGGAGGATGGCCTGCGGCCCACTGCCACCCTCCCTGGAAGAGGGGTCTGGCTGTTGCACTGTAGGAGGGCGAGGACATGCTGGAAGGGCTCAGGGAGCTCAAGAGCAGGGGTCCTGGCCTGCCTGGAAGCAGGCCTCCCAAAGCCAGTGCCTGAGGGCCCCTGGGGTCCGTGGTGCCCTGGCTTATCCCTGCAGAGGCCTCAAGGTACAGCATGACAGGGCATCGGAGAAGCCCCACATGGGGACTCAGGTGGGAAATGTGTGTTACGGTTGTGCCACACATTCTGGGTACTAGTCTCTTTCCGTCCTATCATTGTCTCTTGTCAAGCACGTATGTACAGGACACGGCCTGGCCACCACAGTATCACTGGCTGTGGGGAGCAGCCCCCCACCCCCACCCTAGTTCCTCTCCCTCCGAGCAGTGCGCCACCTGGCTCATGGCTGCAGCCCAGAGCCTCCCCTGTGTGGATCCGAGGCACTGCCCCCAACCCTAGGTGACACGCGCATGCGTGTGGGTGCAGCCTTGCCTTCCTTCGTGGGGGTGGACTGCTCACCCTCCCCAGCCCTGCCAAGTGCCAAGGCATTCTTTGCTGTTGCGAAGGTCAGAGTCAAGGAGGGGATGCGTCACCTTCCCCTTGACTCCTGGTGCTGTGGCGTTGGGAAGTCACAGGTACCCAAATGCCTTTGCCTATGGGATGTTGTCCCCACCTGTGGTGTGTGAGTGTGTGTCACAATGTCCCCGTGGACCTGCTGCTGACCCTCCTCTCCACCTTCCTTCCTGCTTCCTGAGCAGTCACCCTCCAAGTGGTATTGGAAGTTAGTGCCCGTAAGTGCCCCCGCCACAGCTACCGTCTGCAGAGCCATCCTGTTGCCATCATGCGCTGCCATTGAAATTGCTCGCACCCAGAACTGTTTTTCTTTTGTTGTTTGTTCAGTGTCCACCTAGGACTGGTGTTACAGCTTCTCTAGGACAGTGTGAGAGAGCGCCTGACGGGGCTGGGCAGGGCTGTGATGTGGCACTGCAGGGCTCCTGGTTCTGTCTGCCCAACTTCCCTGGACTTGTTTGTTCAGTGACTTCTGTATGTGACCAGCGCAGCATAGCTGACAGGCCAGTCTCTTCTCTGAGGCACTTGGAAGACTGACGATGATGTAGTGGCCCGAGCTGCTCCTGAAGCTTGGTCCTTTCTGAGGTCACCCGCCCCACAGTGCTGCTGCCCTTGTTGCCCCCTGGCATCCCTAGGCAGGGGTCCAGTTGGGAAGGTGGCTCCCCAGCAAGGGTGTAGGTGGACTGTGGCGAGGGCTCTCACTTGTGTCCCCAGGGCCTGTGCCATCCCTGCCTGGCGTGCGCTGGCCCCCTGGCACAGGCTCGTTGTGGTTGGCAGACCGGCATAGGCACAGGGGTTCTAGCTTCTCTAGAAGACAGTGATTTGGTGAGACAGTTCTGGCTGTGCCCCACTGGTGGCCCATTCTGGACAGCGACAGTTTGTCACCCTGTCCCTACAGGAAGTGCTTAGTGCCCAGCGGTGCCTTTGCGCATGAACTTGTAGACACGAGTCCTTGTGCAGATGGTTCTGTTTGTGTCCCTCTGAAGCCTGTTTGGTGGCTTCTTGACTTGGCCTGGGTCACCCTCTGGACCCCTCCTTGGGGTCCCAGAGCCGTGGACTGCACAGGGCCCCTCTGTGCCAGGCCTGTCTTCTGACCACCTTGTTTCTCTGCGTGTGTTAGGAGGAGAGCTGTCCTCTGGAGAGCCACAGGTGCCTGGCTCTCCAGTCCCAAATGTGATTGAGGCCAGGGCTCACAGTTTCAGCTATCCTCCAGGGAGATTGAGTTGATCAAGACAGAAAAATGTGACAAGATCAGTGTCCCTTCAAATGTCTCTTTGTCAGCTGGGCACAGTGGCACACACCTATGACTCCAGTGTTTGGGAGGCTGAGACAGGAGGATCGATGTGAGTTCAAGGCCAGCCTGGGCTACACAGCAAGGTCTTGTCTCCAAAAACAAAAAAATATTCCTTTATCAGAATGTGTGTGTGCCCTGCCACAGTGTTCAGTAAACAGCTGTTGAGGGTGAATCTGATAAAGGCGATGAGTAGAGGTTTTACTTTAGCACCCACGGCCAGGGCTTCAGAGTGACAGTGTGTGAGGTAGGCGCGCAAGCGTCCCAGCCCTGTAGCTCCGTGTGCTGCCTGACCAGCCCTCACCATCCATCTTAATCAAGAAACCATTTGCTTCATGCATGACTCTGCTCACCCGCGTGTCTGCTGTCTGTGGAAGCCTGGCCTGGCGCATGCCATGGTGCATTGCATGCTGGAACCCGTGGACCTTGCACGTGTGGTACAGTATGAGGCGGGTTACTATAGTAGCATGTGCCTTGGGCTCTGAGAAACAAGTTAAAGCGAGCCTCAGAACAATGTCACACAGATAAGCCTTGCTGCAGAATTTATAAAGACAGTGTTAGAAGTGTTTTATGCTAGCTGTGACTGTTTTGCACTTTGCTGCCTTGGACATCAGCTGGCAGTTTTGTCCTGTGGAGAGACAGCCTTGGAATCTGCTCTCCTGCAGAACCAGAAACTCCAGGCTCTCTGGGCTCCGCACGGCTGGGTTCTTCCTATAGCCGGCCGTGCATTTCCCTCTGTAGGAGCTGTGGGTAGTAGGAAGAGCCACGTGTAAAAGTCGTGCTGGGCGAGCTGATGGAAAGCAGGAGGGGCCAGGGCTGCCCTGAGGCGGCCCAGCCGCTACACTCTGTCCACTGCTCACATCCGCTGCTGGAGCAGAGCTGAGGCCCAGGGCTTCCTCTCCGGGTGGAGACCTGGGAGCTACAGCCCAGCGACCGTGGCCCTGGCCCCTCGCACAGGCACCTCCTGGCACATCACTGCATTTCCTGGACGGGCTGATGCTGTGTCATGAGAAATTGGCCTCACCTTGCTCGAGATTTCTCCAACTCTGTACCAAGGCTGTTTTGTGTTTTCCTTAATGGCCGCGGCAACCTGATGATACCTGGGAGAGCAGCGTTGGAAGCTCCCTAACTTGTTTCTCGCTAGTTTGTAGCGCGTTGGCTCTGGTAGCGTAGCCGTGTGTTCTGACTCCTTCCCGTGGGTCTGCCCCAGCGTCAGCTGCGCGTTCGGCTGACCCTGGTGGCGCTCATAGAGAACGGCTGCCGCTTAGTGTGACCACACAGCCCAGGGCCCCGGCCTGGACGAGGGCTTTGGGTGAGCGTGCCAGGCGGTCAGGTTCACTCCGCGAGATCGGGCCTGCCCGTTGTGCTCTGCGGATAGCCGCAGCACACCTCAGGCGAGTGCACATGCAGAGACCGTTTTCCTTTTATCAACTGCAGGTCCGCTATCGGCGAGAGCACCTTTCCGCTAGGCAGTCGCCCTACTTCCCGTTGTTGGAGGACTTGATGAGAGGCAGCAGCGATGGCGCTGCTCTCTTGGCGGTGGTGCACTATTACTGCCCCGAGCAGATGAGACTGGATGGTGAGTGGAGGCGGCGCCTTGGGGTTTACACACCCAGGATGCCTGCACCTTGTCCGATGGGGACACGGCATGGCGACTGTGTCCAGGCATGTGTCGGAGCATATGTGGCTCGCTGTGCCTTAGTGTGGGTGGGCTGTCCTGCATCCTCCCCTTGGCTGAGAGGGTTTGGAACTCCCCTGGGGAATGAGGATCATCAGTACCTCAGCGTGCTGCAGAGCACTCCCGAGGTCTGTGTGTGTTTGGCATTGGTGTGGCCTGCAGTGGGCGGAGCCTAGCCGCACCTGCCCAGGTGCTGCTGAGCACCCTGGCATCTGGAGCGGGCATGCGGCCTGCCCTGGCATCGCAGGTCAGCCCTGCTCCAGGGACAGAGGTGCTATGTGGCGCACACCTGCTTACAAGTAGTCTCCCAGACACAGGGCTGCATGCTTTCCTTTCGTCTTGAGACAGTTTTGTCTGGAGACGTGGTCTCACTGGTCTGAGCTGGCCGCACACACTTGGGCTAGGAGTGATCCTCCCTCCTCAGCCTCCTGGGTAGCTGGGGTGCCAGGAGTATATCACTGCACCCACAGGACTGTGCTGGAAAGACGGGGAGCCTCAGGTGCCAGAAGAGGCCTGAGAGGAGAGCCCAAGGGAGTACTGTGGGTGCCCTGGAGCCTGACATGCTGCAGCCTGCAGGTCCCTTAGGCCTCAGGACTGTGTGTCAGGAGCTGGGCCTGGGCCTTATGGAGGAAGAGCTGGAAACGCTCCTCGAGTCCCGCCTCCCTGGGTCAGTGGGAGGAGTGGGAGGGGACTGAGAGGCTCTGAGGGGAGGCCAGTGTCAGAGTGCTGTGGGGATGGGGACCCTCGTGGCCTTGCAAGAGTTCTGATGGAGCCTGTGGGCCACATTTGACCTGGTGGAAGAGAACACAAGAGTCTCTCAGGGATGCAGGACAGGAAGAGGGGGACAGCAGCCAGCAGGAAGACATCAGATGGTGGTACCTCCAGGTTTGCAAGTGTGGCAGCGCATCTTCTGTCTGCATCCTTTCACCTCCTTGCTGTGGGTAGCGTTCTCACAGGTCTGACTGCAGGAGCTGGGGGCCTGCTCTTGGGGGAAATTGAGCCAGGCAGCTAGCTATAGGCTCAGGTGGGCAGGAACGAGGTCATACCCTGAAGAGGGGCTCTGATGGAAGCTGCTCTGTGCAGTTCGCCTGCCCCAAGAAGCCTCCATCTCTTGCTCAGCTCCAGAAGGCCCCTTTCCTTTGCCTGGGTGCAGAGAGGGGAAGGAGTCTTCTCTGCAGAAACTGGCCTCAGGGAGAAGATCCACAACCACTGAGGCTTTTCCTGTCACCTGCGGCAGAACTTTTTCTCTAATGCCTCCCTCTTAACGGGGTGTGGATAGTCTGTGACCCCACACCTGAACGAGCACCAGGCCACAGAGGCAGCACAGGAGAAGCAGCGCAAGGAGGCGGTGGAGAGTCAGACTGCAAGGAGCTCTGGGAAGGTTGTGCTCAGTCGCTGAGAGGTCAGAATTCCCTGAAGAGCGAGGTTAAGTGGAGTTGAAGAGACCGCCTAGGAACCAGGACAAGGAGGACAAAGTAGGAAAGCTGGAGATGAGTGTGGGAAGGAAGAACAGAGGAAACAGGCGAGGCATCAGCCAAGAAGTGTAGAGGACTCCGCGGGTGGCCAGTGTGACTGCTGAAGCAGGACGGGAGGCAGGAGCAGGAGGACACTGGCACCGCTGGGTGGCACCCAGTGCCCCAGGGAGGCCTTAGCAGGGTGCACTCCCATCTGGGGGTGGGAGAGAGGCTCATGTCTGAAGTCCCCAGCGTTTCAGGGACCGAGACCCCTGCACCAGGAGGGGCCGGCAGCACCGGCTCAGTGGCCAAAGGACAAATGTGAGGTCCAAGACACAGCAGAGTTGTAGGGAGAAGCCCATGTGCTCAGGTGTGGAAGTAGCCCAGGAACTTCCTCTGGACCCAGCCACGCAGACGCTGTGTGATGCTGCAGCCGCCGCCTGCTGCTGGGCAGTGTGCTTGGCCCTCGGAGCCAGCCAGGTGGGCAGGGGCAGAGTGTCCAGCAAGGGGATGTGGGCCCTGGCAGAGGGGTAGAGGGCATAGGTAGACAGTGACCTCTTCGTAAAACAGTCCTGGTGGCATTTTAAAGTCTTGTGACTTTTGTTAATATAAAAACGTTAAAATTTTTGGTAAATTCAATCACAAAATAATAAAAGTTTTAAAGAGAAAATATGTAAAACTAAAAGCTTGTTCTTTTAAAGGATTAATAAAATAGTTTTCTGGAAAGATAACAAAGGACAAAAATAAAGAATATATGAGTAAGAAAAATGACAGATCTAGTAGCTAACAAGACCACTGAGAATATTTGTATGCCAGTGACATTTGAACGTTAGCCAGCATGGAGCTTTCCCATGGGGCCCAGCAGAGCAGGGGAAGCATAAAGAGACCCCATAGTGACAAAGTTGATGGGCTCAGGGGTCCGAAGATGCCTTTGCGTGAGCTGGACTGGGGCTCTGTGCCAAGGTCGGGGAACTGGCTGTTTGTGTGACGCATACTGTCTCGGGACAGCACAGGTGGACCACTCCCGCCCCTGGTGAGAAGGCTGCTCTCTGACACTGCCTCAAGAGGGCAGCCAGTGGTGCCCTCTCTCTGTTACTGCGGGCTGAAAGTCTTTCATGAAGTGTTAAGAGAGAAGAACTAGACGTGGGGTGGACCCTGCAGTCACTCCAGCAGGGGCAGTTGTAGGCCTGCTGGGGGCTTGGTTTGGCCTGGTTGTAGTTGTCACACACATACCCTGAGTTGTGTCCCCAGGGAGCGGGGAGAGGCTGGCTCCCAGGAGGGCCCTCACCATGTCTCCTGCCCTCCACACCTCATCAGCTTGTCACATGACCTGCCCTGTGTGTAACACAGGGAGGGCCATGAAGAATTCAAGAAATTAAGTCAACAAAGAGAAGTAAGAAAAATGCAGAAATAGGTTTAAAATTGTAAGGAAAAAGCAAATTTTTCTATAGTGTTTGGGCTAAGACTTAACATTCTCAGATACTGAGTCAGTATCCTAAACAAGGTAACTTTTCAGAATATTCTGTAAATTTATTGTCAGTCCACAGAAATTGATGAGGCAGTATAAAAAGTTCTGCAAGTGGGAGCCCAAGGCCCCTGCTCATGCATTGCCCAGAGCTGGTTTAAACTCACAGGTGATCAGGGACCCTACAGGCCCCCAGGGTCCCCTATGAGCCTTTCCCACCACCACACTCCCACCACCACACTCATGTCCTGGCCTCTGCCCAGCCCATGAGCCCAGTGATGGCCTCAGCACAGCTCTCATCCTCCGTGCGGCTTCCAGCTTCCAGCTGAGCTGCCCCTTGGCTGTCTTGGCCTTAGCATTTGGAAGGTCAGTGGGTGGTAGAGTGACCCTCGGTCATGGTCTGCTCTTTCCCCACACTGCTCCCATGGACACGGAAGATTCTCCTTCAGAATTGGTTGATTCACTTGGGGGAGAGGCCTTGGACTCTGCCTCTGCCCTTGTCCTCAGACTCCTTCTCTGCCTTTCTGTGCCAGTGTGGCCACATTGCCCATTGCTGGCCAGAAGGGTCTGCTGCATGGAGAGTGTGCTCCTCTCCTGCTGTCTTGGAGCCTGTGGCTTCCTGCTGTCTGTTTCTGTCAGTGGGTTATAATCCAGTTCTTCCACTATTTTTTGCTTAAACTGTCACAGGTTATAGCCATGCTTACTGTGAAGAGGAGGACCTTAGGTGCTTGCTCTGGAGCCACCATTCTTGTTGGGCTTTGTCTTGGCGGGAGCTGCGTGGCTTCGGCTCGAGAGTGTCGGTGGAGCAGGGAGTTGCACGCAGAGCCCAGAGAAGAGGCAATGTGCAGGGGACCCGTGTGTTGGGTCACAAAGCCCCTCGGGACAGATAGGACCGGCTGGTCACACCTGGTGACAGGTGGCCATTGTGTGATTTGGTGACACCCCACTGCATGTGAGGCAGAAGTTTCTGTTCTTAGGCTAAGGACCTGGCTCTGAAAAGCAACTAAAGATGGTTGAGTAGAAAATCTAACTTATACGCACTTCTGAGCCCTTGACAACATGCTTTTCCATAGAAGGCCCTTTCAGTGGGCCTGTGGTGCTTCTGCACCGCAAGCCTGATGTCGTGAATTGTCCTGCCCCAGGTGCAGCAGGTGTCCTGCAGCTTCGTGGAGGAGGCTCACACTGTGCAGTCTCTTGACTTTAGGATGGCTGACCTTCCTGGACACTTAGAATATATATTTCTGCCAGCATGGACAGGACCTTGTGCAGAGGGTCTGGGTTCCGCAGGGAACTTGTTCACCCCCCAGATGCAGCTCGGCTCCCGGGTGGAGAGGTCATGGCCACTCTTCATTTTAGAAGCCCATCTCAAAAGAGTGTTTCAACGTTAACCACTGAATTCAAATCCTGGAGTTGTCTCCGCTTTTCCCTTAAGATGTTCCTTCTACATTGAATGTCACTTGGGAAACTCCATGTATTTTTAAATCCCCTGACATCATTCCTTTGAGTACCAACACTCCCCTACGTGCAGTGCCCTTGTTCAGGGCCCTGTGCCCACGTGCACCCCTGTGATGCAGGGTCTGCACATGCTGAGTCCTGCTCCTCCGTGTCTGTCAGATATATGCCTGAAGGAGGTGCCGTCCATGGCTGACAGCCTGTACAATATCCGGCTCCTGAGAGAGTTCGCCAACGAGCACCTGAACAAGTGCTTCTACCTCACTCTGGAGGACATGCTGTACGCCCCGTTAGTGCTCAAGGTGAGGACAGCCGCCCAGTCATGCTTGCGGGCTGTGTATGAGTGTGTGTGTACATCCTCATCTTGGTTTTCGTTTTTCTTTTAGCCCAATGTTATGGTTTTTATTGCTGAGCTCTTCTGGTGGTTTGAAAATGTCAAACCCGATTTTGTTCAGCCCCGGGATGTTCAGGAGCTGAAAGATGGTGAGTGACTTGATTCACTGCTGAATCCCAGGGATCACTGGGGGTGCATCCAAGGGTTTGGAGCAGCTAATGGCAGGGCTGCGCAGTACACAGGGACCCCATGGGTTGAGCTTACCTTTTCTATCCGCTCTTCTTGTTCCAGTCTCTGTAGTCCTTTAACAATTTGGTATGATATTTATAGCATTTGCCAGGCATAGTGGTGCATGCCTGAAATCCCAGCATTTAGGAGGCGGAGGCAGGAGAACTCCCATGAGTCTAAGGCCAGCCTGGACTACATAGTGAGTTCAGGGCCAGCCTGAACTACACCGCAAGACTGTGTCTCAAAAAACAAAACAAAAAAAGTTGTATCTGACATCATACAGTACATTTGTTAAATTTGACACTAATTTTCTGGAGAAGTTCAGTTTCAGGTAAAAGTTGTTACTTTCATGCTTATAAAAATGCAGGCATGCTGGGTGTGGTGGCGCCAGCCTGTAATCCCAGCACTTGGGAGGCTAAAGCAGGAGGATCCTTGCGAGTTCAAGGCCAGCCTGGACTACAGAGTGAGCCCAGGGCCAGCCTGAACTGCATAGTGAGACCCTGTCTGAAAAAGACAAAAAATGTAGGCTTAGCCAGGTGTGGTGGTTTAATCTTAGCACACAGGAGGCAGAGGCAGGAAGATCCCTGCCAAAAAAAAAAAGCGGGTTTTCTGTTTCTTATGAGTTCCTGTAAGAGTGCTACTTTTGCAGCTAAAACAGTGTTACAGCAGAAGAGCAGCCGCCCCCCTGTGCCTATCTCCAACGCCACCAAACGCAGCTTTCTGGGGAGCCCTGCTGCGATGAGCCCAGCTGACCTGCAGCCCACTGCGCTGCCTGCTGAGGGTGGGCTCCGGTACCACCTCCACTCCGAGGATGCTGAATGTCTGTGAGTCTGTCTCTCAGTCTGGACCGTCATTTCCTCTCCACAGCTCGAGTAGTATAGTGCTTGTTTCCCGGAAGACACAGATGACATGAGCAGCTCCACTTGGTGGGGCCTCCTGTGTCCGCTGGCGCAGACCCCCTGGGAGGACCTGCGCCAGTCCTCAGCCCCTGTGTCTGCTCTTTCCCTCTCCCCTCGCCACTCACTCTAGCATTCAGTCTCCTGCCTGCTGCCCGCCCCATGTCTCTCTCTTCTGCCCCCGGACGGCCTCTCCCTGCATTTGCCTCTTTAGGCCCAGGGCTGGCACCAGCCCCGCCTGCTGGTGTCCTGCAGTCCCTCCACCCTGCTCACACCTTTGTGATTGTCCTGGCCAAGTGCTCTGAAGTATGATGGCCAGCGTGCCTGCTAGCCGAAAGCTCGGGCTGCTGGCGTGGCGTCGCGTGTAGCACTGTGCCTGTGGTCTCCATCACGAGTGTGTGTCTTCACACCCATGAGTCCGTATGTGCCCAGCCGTGACAGCCGAGTGGGTGGGCTGTGCTGCCCCTGCCCCTCCAGGGGCCTGGCTTGTCCGCATTTCCAGTGTTAATTTGAGGCAGTCTTTGTTGCTGAGGTTCCCTGGTTCTCACTGAACCAGGAATGTACAGTTTTGAGAACCACACCCTTCAATCACTTTTTCTATTTTTACTTTGGCTTATCTCTAATGGAACCTTCGTGGCTTGAGTTTACAGTTGAAATTGGAAACTGGTTGTGTTGTGCACTGACCCAAAGTCAGTATGTTCCCTGTGTGCAGCTTTTGGAGTTTTGTCCCGTGTTTGAAGTTCTTGGTAGTCTTGTGGCTCATTTGTGTAGCAGTATTTCCCAGGAAACCTATCAAGCTGCTCACAGCTGAGAAGAAAGTCTTGATGGTCTCTGTTGTTTCACATGCATTTGCTTTTGAAATTGAAGTTTTATAAATGATGATTTTCTCCCCAATTGTTTCCCATTTAGTGGGAAGGGAACTTCTGCATTTAGCCCGTCCCATCCTCTACTGCCGCTAAGGCAGAAGCAGCAGAAAGCAGCACAGGCCGAGGAGACGACCGGTAAGAGCATGCCTCCCTCCCTCTGTAACACAAGACCTCTCCGAAGTGAACGATCTGGCTCTGGTTAGGAACAAGATGGTGAACCCTCGTTTGCGCTGTGTATCTTGATTTTACAGTCTTACTGTGAAAGTCCCACCCAGGTCTAATACATCCTACGTAGACACAGGATTGCTGTGGGGACTGAAGCAAGAACTTCTGTACTGAGGTTCACTCCCTTGCTGTGTGGGGCTGGTTGTTACACCACACATTAGTTACTGAGACTGTCAGTGGGGTTGGTGTGATTATCTGCTTTCCTTGAGTAGTTTTGGTGTACAAGTTAAGGTCATTTCCTGGGAAGATACTTGTGCTGTAAGCATTTCCAGTGGTACAGAGTTAAAATACTGAATGTTAATTCCTCCATACTGCAGATCAGCGACATCGGTCTAATTCTCTAACCCGAGTTGATGGTCAGCCACGAGGCACAGCAGTAGCATGGCCGGAAAAAAAAAACAGGTCAGTCTCTCTGACATGATGCTTCCATTGCGGTTCTCGCTGGACCCCCATAACCTGAACTGTAACGCGGGCGGTGCTGAGCACTGTCTTGCACACAGTGCCACACCCATGGCTTCTGCTCAAATTTCAGGCCTGTGTCCCAGCCAACACCCTTCGCACTGCATCATGCCACCAGCTGTGAAGTGGACCCTGGCTCCGGTGACAGCATCAGCTTGGCCCGCTCTATCAGCAAAGACAGCCTGGCTTCCAACATTATCCACCTGACACCCCAGAACCAGCCGCACCCCACGGCCGGGAAGGCCAATGGGAAAAGCCTCCTGAGCAACGTCAGTATTGAGGACGAAGAGGAAGAGCTCATGGCCATCATTAGGACGGATGTGACTGCCCACCGAGGGGACCTGGAGGTCACCAGGGTCTCCCCTCGTGCGCCAGTTCTACCGGCCAGTGCCAGGTCTCCCCAGAGGCAGCTGGACACTATGGAGAATAAGCCTGACAGTTTCTTCCTGGAGCCCCTGATGCCGGCAGTACTGAGGCCAGCAAAGGAGAAGCAGATTATTACCAAGGAGGACGAGTGTGGGGAAGGGAGGCCGAGGAGCTCCACAGCCAAGCGGTCCAGCGAGGGTCCCCAGCCACTGGCACGAAAGAAAGTGACTGGGGCTCATGGTGGGCGGGACTTGAACAGGACTTTCACCCCCATTCCTTGTTCAGAGTTTGTGGCAGGCGTCAACCCTGCCGAGGCACATCTGCGATCAGCAGAAACCCTGGGAGAAGTGCGTGGGGGACCTCTGGCCATCGGTGGGTTCCAGCCGTCGCCCCAGGGTCAGCCTGCAGATGGCTTCTTCCTTCACGTGGGCAGGGCTGATGAGGATGCGGAAGGGAGGTTGTGCATCAGCTCTAAGAGCCCCAGCTCACAAGACTCGGAACCCTGGACGCTGCTGAGGCAGGACTCCGACTCCGACGTGGTTGACATAGAGGATGCGGAGCAGGACTTCGTTGGTGAGGATCACCCCCTGGTCATCACTGCCTATGCTGGAGAGGAGGAATCGGCCAAGTTGCAGGAGGACATGAAGGTGCGGGAGCATGAAGACAAGGACGGCGCCAGTGGCCGCTCGAGCCCGTGCCTGAGTACAGCCTCCCAGCTCAGCAGCGTGTCCCTGGCCAGCGGGAGTGTGAAGATGACCAGCTTCGCCGAGCGGAAGCTCCAGCGACTCAATAGCTATGAGACCAAGTCCAGCACCAGCAGCTCCCAGAAGACCACGCCCGATGCTTCAGAGAGCTGCCCAGCGCCCCTGACCACATGGAGGCAGAAGCGGGAGCAGAGCCCAGGCAGGCATGGCAGGGACGCCGCCAGCCTCCTGGCCTCTGAGCTGGTGCAGCTGCACATGCAGCTGGAGGAGAAGCGCAGGGCTATCGAGGCACAGAAGAAGAAGATGGAGGCGCTGTCTGCGCGGCAGCGCCTGAAGCTGGGCAAGGCCGCCTTCCTGCATGTGGTAAAGAAGGGCAAGGCGGACAGCGCCCCGCAGCCGCTGCGGCCGGAGCACTTTGCGAAGGAGTACGCTCAGCACAATGGTGAGGAGGTGGACAGCGGCACTTCCAGAACAGAGGGCTTGCTGGCCCGGGACGAGCAGAGAGAGGGCCTCAGTGAGTCTCGGGATGTGGATGGAGACAGCCTAGCTCTCGTCCAGCCTCACAGACCCCGAGAGGCGGCCGTGCTGCACGACATGGATAAGAGCAAGATGATCTCCACGGCCCTGCTGGAGGACGGGGTGGGTGAGGGTGTGGATGTGACCGAGTGTGAGCTGTCCATCGAGAAGCTGAATGAGACCATCAGCACGCTGCAGCAAGCCATACTGAAGATCTCACAACAGCAGGAGCAGCTGCTCATGAAGTCCCCAACCATCCCGATGCCAAGCTCCAAGAGCAACTCCCAGGACCAAAAAGTGAAGGCTGCCATCCACTTTGTGGAGCCTCTTTCACCTCCTGGGGTGGCTGGTCATCGCAAACCGCCCCGGCTGGGCCAGGGCCGGAACTCCCGCTCCGGAAGACCAGCGGAGCTCAAAGTTCCGAAAGACAGGCAGCAGGGCTCCTCCAGGAGCAAAACCCCGACACCCAGCATGGAGGGCCTCCCACACCTGCGCCCTTTCCCCCAAGGACACCCACAGCGCACACCCCCCGAACCAGGAGCAGACGGGGCTGCAGACCCCAGCAGCCACCCTCCTGAGAAGGGGCTCTTCGACAGTTACCGGCTCCATGACGAGAGCAACCAGCGGACATTTGTTCTGTCCTCATCCAAAGATCCCAATGTCATTGCGGAGCAGATGGGCCTCAGAGAAATTCTAGATGCCAGCGTGAAAGAGGGAGAGCTGAGCTCCTGCAGCAAAGAGCTCCTCCCTGCGAAGGAGGCTGTCTCCGTGGAAGAGCCACTGAGGAGCAAGGCCAGCCTCATCGAGGTGGACCTGTCCCACCTGAAGGCCCCCAGCGAGGATGGTGAGGTGGCGGGCCAGGACAGCACGACCGAGCTCATCAGTGACGTTGACCAGAAGCCCGGGGTCGGCTTCTTCTTCAAGGTACGTGGGCGATGGGCTTGTGGTGGGGCTCTGAGGCTGGGTTCACGCCCACAACTGCTGGGGCATCGGAGAACCTCGGTCCAGTGCAGGCTCCAGAGTCCAGGCAGAAGCCAGCTGTGTGGCCACAGCTGCTTGATCCCTGCTAGTGAGGCTGGGCCCCAGCCCTGTTCATCGGCCCTGGGGTCTGATTTCATGGCGTGATCCCGAATGGCAGAGAGTTTTTCTGTTGATGACTTTTCAACCACTAGTGAAGCGGGAAAGCTCTACGGAATCGCCAAGGCCAGGCTGCCCTCCACAGGTGTGGAGAGCCTGGGCACAGAGAGCCTCTCAGACAAGTTTTCCTTCTTCTCCCGCCCCACTGGCGGTGAAGTGGAACGGGACTGGGGCTGCTCCTCTGTGTTGGCGGTGCTGTCCTCCTGCCACCGTGCCACCGTGCCACTCGGCCTGCTGGTGCCATGCAGCGCGGCTTTGCATTGTGTGTGTGGGATGTTGGTGTGGTCGCTTAGGGCTTGGCTTACAGGTGTAGGTGTCCAACTGGACACCTCTGAGTGGTTGGTTCTTTTCCATTGGTCCCGTAGCACACGAAGATGTGTTGACTCGGCTCACGGAGTTGGTTTCTTAGGGTTTCCCAAGCGTATACAGTCTCGTCAGTGGTTGAAGGACTTCTGTCCCCTCGTCACGTCTACAGGATGATGTCTGTGTTGTTTGTAGGATGAACAGAAGGCGGAAGATGAGCTTGCCAAGAAGCGGGCAGCTTTCCTGCTGAAGCAGCAGCGCAAGGCAGAAGAGGCACGGGTGCGGAAGCAGCAGCTGGAGGCTGAAGTGGAGCTCAAGCGTGACGAGGCCCGGTAACCTTGTCCCCTGGCAGCTCCTTCCTGCCGCCTTCCCCCAGCACAGCACTCGGCCCAGCCCTCTCCACAGCGGGCCTCAGTTTTCACAGTGAGGCCCTGTGAGCTGTCTCTGCTGTCCCCATGACAGTGCCTCCCAAGGCCATTGTGTGCAGCACAGGAAGGGGTCTCCGTGCTGCAGGGCTCCGCAGAGACCACTGAGTCCCCAGGTAGAAAGCGGCCCAAGGCCCAGCGTCCCATGAGGGTAACCTGGGAAGCGTGGCCTGGGGCTCCAGGGCAGGTGTGTATGTCTGCTCTGGTGAGGATCCCTCTGACTCTGGACGGCTGTGGACTGGTTCTGCTCCTAGACGCAAAGCTGAGGAAGATCGTATCCGCAAGGAGGAGGAGAAGGCGCGGCGAGAGCTCATCAAGCAGGAGTACCTGCGGAGGAAGCAGCAGCAGATCCTCGAGGAGCAAGGGCTCAGCAAGCCGAAGTCCAAGCCCAAAAAGCCTCGTCCCAAGTCCGTGCACCGTGAGGAGTCATGCAGCGACTCGGGCACCAAGTGCTCCTCCACCCGTAAGTGGCTCGCGAGTTGCCCAGTCCCATGCCGTGCTGGCTGTGAGCTTGCGCCGTCGAGCCCGTTGGCTTGGCTGGCTGGGATTTCTGGGACGTGCGTGGGGGAGGCTGCCAGGACCCTCCCACAGTGCAAGGAGGCCCCAAGATAGGAGGCGTGCGGTGCAGCCTGGTGGCGAGGCCACACCTGCCCAACCAGCCAAGGAGCTCTCTGACGAGTTGGGGGCGGGGGGCGGGGGTGGGCAGGCAGGATGCTGAAAGCCCAATGCTTATCTCTGCAGCTGATAACTTGAGCCGGACGCATTCTGGCTCCAGCCTGTCCCTGGCCTCTGCAGCAACGACAGAACCTGAGAGCGTGCACTCAGGAGGCACGCCCTCGCAGCGGTAAGGAGGGCCGGCAGCGGCTCACTCGGGAGGGCAGGGGATTCTGACTGTAGAGGCTGCGAGGTGCTCTGGCCCTGTAATCTGATGGGTTCAGCCTTGTGGCCGAGCTGCAGGCATTTCCGCAGGAAGCCTCACATCCTTTGCCGGGCTCAGGGTGGGCTCCACCTCTGCCCTGGGCCCCGCTTTCCATCCAGGTGGGCATCATGGCAGCTCCCGGTCCCTCGTCGTCATCCCCTTACCGCGTCTCCCAGAACGGTTTTCCTGCACCGTCAGCAGCGTCTCTTGCCAGCACCTCCCACTGACCCTCATCTGCATGCATGTGCCTTCTGCTGTCCCCGCAGAGCCCCAGAAGCTGGGTCCCTGCTGTGTGCCTCTCGTGTGTCCTAGCTGGGACAGTTCCTTCGCTCTGGCTGGCCTCGCTTGACCTTGCCATTTCTTTCTCCGGTGTTAGTTTTTATTAGTACAAGTTTGCAGAATTTTCTTGGGCAGTTGGAAGGTGTACGTAACACTGGTCAATTCTTTTCCATCCCCTTGCTCTGCCCTCTCTTTCCCTTGGTTCCCTTCCCATTTACAAGAAATCTATCTCCCTATTTCCTATTATATATCTTTAATTTGTTCTTTATTTGTATTTTGGGTTTCTCGTAAGAAAAACTGATACTTAAGCTTGTGTGCCTAATTTGTTACCATTATAGCCTCGAAGTGCATCCATTTTCCTACAGATGACTCAAGTTTGTGCTCCTTAACGGCAGAGTAATACTCCACTGTGTGTAAATCCACATTTTCTTTATCCATTCGTCTGTTGGCGGACATAGGGGCCACTTCCAAGATTTAGCTGTTGTGAGTTGAGCTGCTTTGAACATGGCTGTGCAGGGATCGCTGTAACACAGTGCCCTCAGCTGTTTCAGGATATACCTAGAAAGGCATGGCTGGCTCAGGTGGGCTCTCTAGTTCCAGCTTTTTTCAGTCTCCATACCGATCCCCATGGTGGTTGTACTCGTTTGCGTCCCCACACAGTGTGGAAGGCTCCTCTCTTGCCATTATTTGATCTCGTGATGATGCCGTTCTCTCTGCAGTAAGACGGAATCTCAGTGTTGCTTCACTTTGCCTTTCTCGAACGACCAGAGAGATGTTGAACATTTTTTCATGTGTTTGTTGTACTTTCTCTAAGAAGTGTCCATCATTTCACTGGCCCATTTTTTGAACGGGTCTTTTATTTGGAGGGGACTAAGTTTTTTGAGTTCTTTATATGGTCTCAATACTAGTTCCCTGTGAAGAGTAGCAGGCAAAAATCTTTTTCCCATTCTGTAGGGTATCTCTTCACTTGCTTGGGTGTTTCCTTTGCCATGCAGAAGCTTTTTAATTTGATGTGATTCCATCTGTTGATTCTAGGTGTTTCTTGTGTCATTGGGGTTCTGTTCAGAAAGCCCTTGTCCTGTGCCAGTGTCTTCGAGAATTTTACCTATTTTATCTTTCAGCAGATTAAATACATTCAGATCTTTGATCCATTTTGATTTTAATTTAGTGGGTAGTGAGATGTACGGGTGCAGATTCAGTCTTCTGAGTGTGGACAGCCAGTTTTCCCAGCACCATCTATTAAGAAGCTGCCTTTCCTCCAGGGTATGTTTTTGGCCACTTTGTCAAAGATCAGATAGATGGATGTGCCTCTGTTTTTGCATCCTGCTCTGTCCCACTGATCCACATGTCTGTTTTTGTGCCGGTACTATGCCGTTTTTATCACCATAGCCTTGTAGTACAACTTGACATCCAGAGCTGCGAGGCCTGTTGCTCTGCTGTTGTTGCCTAGGATTGCTTTTGCTATTCTGAGTCTCTTTGTTCCCTGTGAATTTTAGGATTGTTTTCTCCAGTTCTGTGAGGAATGCTGTTAGTATTTTGACTGGGATTGATTAATTCTCTGTGTCAGCTTTGACATATGGCCATTTTGACTGTACTGGTTCTGCCTGTCCGGGAGCAGGGGTTTCCATTCATTTTCTGACGTCCTCTTGGATCTCCTTTTTCCGAGCACTGTAGTTTTGTTGTAGAGGTCTTTATCGTGGAGGTCTTTCACTTCCTTAGTTACATTAATTCCTAAGTACTTAGTTTTCCTGGGTGCTATTATGGACGATGCTGTTTGCTTAACTTCTCAGTGAGTGCATTACTGTGGTACAGGAACGCTGTTGATCTTCATGTGCTGACTTTATACCCTGGCTGCATTTGGCTGTCTCAGAAGTCTTAGTGGAAGTTATTCCCCATGGAGGATCCGGCTTGGCCCAGCTCCTCATGAGAGCACAGGCTCCCGGCTGTGGCCGGCTGTGGCCGGGCAGGGTATCTTCTCTGGCCAGGTCAGGTCCTGTGTACGTAGGTCATATAAGGTGCTGTTTGCCATTTTCCACTAGCTGTTAAAATTTTCCTTTGTGATTAGAAAGTCCCTGTCCAGAGCACCTGTCTGCACGTCCCTGAATTTTCACTCTAAGGCTTTAGGAGCCCCTGCCTGGCCCCCGTGGTGTTGGCCTCAGTGGCAGCTGCCACTCCTGCCCGCACGTCCCTGTGTGGTGTGTACCTCGTGTGGCCATCGCCACTCTGTCTGACAGTGGCTGTGGTTTCCTGTCCTTGTGCACATTGGTAGCTTGTCATCTGCTGGCTTTGTGCAGGGCTCCTCTGAGCACTCCTGGGTCTTACTGGAGCCCAGCTCTGGGCTTCCGCAGTGGCACTGCCTGCCTCTGCCAGAGAGCAGCTATGCCGCTCTGCCCTCTAGGCATGGTAGGGACATCCCTGCAGGTGTGGCTCAGAGCCCCGACCAGAGTCCGCAAGGCTGGGCTTTGTAGTCGGGCCACAGCGGCCCCTGTGCCTGGGCTGCAGCAGCAAAGGGACCAAACTACGTCCTGTGCTTCCTGAGCCGGCAGCACCACGGCCTTGCCCGCGTGGCAGCACCCTCCGGAAGATGCCGTGGCAGACGAACGCTCGTCCCCCAGGGGAGATGCATGTTGTTTGTGTTCCACCCCCCCTCACCCCCCACACACACACAGTGCCAGCGCCGGCCGCTCCACACAGGGCTCCTCTGCTCCAGTGCTGGTGGGAGAAATGCAATCCGAGTCTGCGCCACCCTCACCTGTGTCCTCTTGTGCCCACAGAGTCGAGTCCTTGGAAGCTCTGCCCATACTGAGCCGCAACCCGAGCAGAAGCACTGACCGGGACTGGGAGACAGCGTCAGCAGCGTCCTCTCTGGCCTCAGTGGCCGAGTACACAGGTGACAGCTCACCCCTCCTTATCAGCTGTCAGGGCCTAGCCTCGTGCCTGTGCGTGCTCTGGGAGGTCTCACGCTGCACCTGGGTCTGAAGGTGCCGAGTGCTGGCTCGAGGTTTGCAGGAGCCCTGAGGAGAGTGGGTGCTGGCCCTGCGGGGGTGGCCATGCCCTGGGCAGTCGGGGTCTGAGGCTTTGAACTGCCTGTCTCCCTCTCCCTCCCTCCCTCCCTCTGTCTCCCTCTCTCCCTTTCCCCCTCCCTCCTTCCCTCTCTCCTCTCCTTCCTCCCTTTCTCCCTCTCCCTGCCACCCTCCCTCTCCCCCTCTCCCCCATTTCTCTTTCTTTCTCTGCCTTTCTTCTTTCTTTCTTCCTGTCTTCCTTTCTGTCTTTCTTGGTGGTACCAGGAAAGAACCTTAGGCTTTCTCAAAATGGATTTTTATGCCAGGTGTAGTAGGGTATGCCTGTAATACCAGCTGCTTGGGAGGCTGAGGTAGGTGGATCACAAATTCAAGGCCAACCTGGGCAATTTAGCAAGACCCTGTCTTAATCCACAGAGAGGAGTGGAGATGCAGCTCCTCTGCAGCTTGGGCTTGATTGCCAGTACCACCAAAACAAGTAAAGTTTCCTAGGTTTGTCATTTTATAGAAAGGAAGCAGAAATTTGAGTAGGTAAGTCCTTAGGTACTTTAATTTGTTAATTATCTATCTTTTTTTTTTTCTTTTTGGTACTGGGAATCAAACTCATGACCTCACTCTTGCCAGGCAGGCACTTATGCTGCAGAGCTATATCTCTAGCCTTTTTTTTGGTGACAGAGGATCTCACCGTGTAGTTCAAGCTGGCCTTGAACTCACTTTGTAACCCAGGCTGGCCTCAAACTCAGAGTGAATCTCTTGCTCAGCCTTGTGAGTTCTGGGTTTGTAGGCATGCTTCATCAAGCCCAGCTATCTTTTATTATCTTTTAAAATTTCTGCTGGGAATTTGCTTTAGTACATTTGCAGTGGTCCTTTGTAGCCACTTTCAGGGGAGCCCGTATGCCCACAGTGATGTCTGTTTTGGTTGGTTTTTTTTTTTGTCTTTTTGAGACAAGGTCTCACTATGCAGTTCAGGCTGGCCTTGAGCTCACTTTGTAGCCCAGGCTGGTCTTGAATTCGCAATGATCCTCCTGCTTCAGCCTCCCGAGTGCAGAGATTACAGGTGTGCGCCACCATACCTAGGTACCGCCTGCTTGCTTCTTGACCCTGAGGTAGCATTTCCCTCTTTCTCATGTGTGTTCCTGCCTTTGAACATCAATTTGCAAACCTTGGCCTGGTGTTCTCAGGTCCCAAGCTCTTCAAGGAACCCAGCAGCAAGTCCAACAAGCCAATCATCCACAACGCCGTGTCACACTGCTGCCTGGCTGGGAAGGTGAACGAGCCCCACAAGCACTCAGTCCTGGAGGCAAGTGTTCTGCGTGCTGCCACAGCTATGGGGGCCCGGGCGGGGGCCGGGGGCGTGGCTGTGTCTCGGTCACTGTAAATTGTCCTGGCCACAAGAGAGTAAGTAGGTGGCTGGGTGCCAGCAAACAGACAGCGTCCTTGGTTGGACTCTGGTGTGCTCGGGAAGAGTGACCTGGGCAGGCGGGAAGTGGAGGAGTCCCTGTACTTGGGCAGAGCGCAGCCTAGCGGCCCCAGGTCCTTCCTAACCAGGGAGAGGACTGTCCAGGCAGGGGCATGCAGGGGCCAGTCCCAGTCCAACAGGCCTACATTTTTGGGAACCAAGGTAGATTGGTAGAGCACTTGGCAATGAGGACTCCCACTGTTCTGGAGGGGCCGTGTGAGGCAGGGGTAGAGGAAGGGCGGCCGCCAGGCATCCTGGGCGTGAAGCAGTCCAGTGTGCTGTGCTGGGTCGTCCTTATGCTTCCTTGGCCTCTTGTCTCTACAGGGTGGAGGCCTGGCTAGGGCAGAGCTGGGACGAAGGCCAAAGAGGCAGCATTGGAGGGTGTATCCACCCTCGCCCTTCCTCAGCCGCGGGAGGGCTTTGGTTGGGAGGAACCAGGGTTCGAAGACGGTTTCTGCAAGCGCTGATGTGGCCGTGGGCCCTGCCTTCTGCGCCACCGTCCTTGTGCAGACAGTGCAGCCTGAGCAGGGCCCAGGCCTTCATTCACTGAAGTCGGCATGTTCCTCCCGGGGTTAGGGAGAGAGTGAAGGGAGTCCAGCGCACAGGAGGCAGGATCAGATGTGGGTGGGTGCAGCCAGGAGAAGGAAGCAGAAGAGCACCCTCGCACAAGCTGGCCTGTGTGTTGGCAGAGCAGAAGGAGGCCAGAGGTTAGAGGCCGCTTGGAGGAGAGGTTGTGTGGGACAGGCTCTGTGGGGCTTCAGGTGGCGGGAGGGTATTGCACTTCCTTTTATGAAGCAGTGGTGCAGGTGTGGGCCAGGATGACCCTGCCTCTCGGCTGGGGGACAGACTAGGGGTGGAAAGGGCAGGAGGATGGCGCCCGAGGCCAGAGGAGAGTGGTCTCAGGTCTCTGCTGGGCCGAGGACACAGCCAACTGGTGGTGGGAAGCCCGGAGCCCTCCGGAGGTGCGGGTGCTGGGTGCCTCCTGTACCAGATATGCTGGCCCGGTGGCCTGGGCAGCTGACTCCTGAGGGCAAGAGCAGACCAGGCCGCTCCCTGGACTCGGGGGAGAGGCTCCGGACGAGGGGCTGCTGAGCCACACCCTGGCACGCAGCAGCCATCACAGCCTGGCTTCAGGAGCTGGAGGACGAGGAGGCCTGGCAGGCCCCGTGTCCTTGCAGCTGTGTGGCTCAGTCCCTGAGGCAAATCCTGGCACAGGAGCAGGAGTTGGCACTGTCTTGGTGGCAGTGGGGTGATGCTAGGGAAGGGTCACGAGCTTGCAGACGCTCTGCGTGAGTCACAGTGAGGACCGCTGGGGGGAAACCGAGCCAGACAGATTTGTTCCTGGGTCCGATGGGAAGAGGACTTTCTGTCCAGAGCCCCTCCAGCAAGCTCTGCGGTGGGCGTGGACCATGTAGCCTGTTTGCCACGGCTTCTGTTTGTCGGTCATGACTCTGTTGAGGTGCATCTTGCCCCCCAGAGTCACCCTTTGGAGGTGCAGGCTTTTGGGCAGTGTGTTCCTGATCAGAGCCACCCGGGGTGCTCTCTGTCTCTGGGCGTGCCTGTGCCCGTGCTGTCGCCTGCGGAGCCCTGGGACGTGTGACCTTTGGGCTGGTGTCTGGCCCAGAGCAGTGTTTCTGAGGTTCCTGAGTGTTGTGGGCACCTGGACAGACAGCATCCCAGGCTCAGTAGGCTGTGGGTCCCCTGCATCCGCTGGCAGGTGTGCGGGTTGTCTCTGCTCTTAGACTTGCAGTGCAGGTTTTTGTGCGCGTCTATGGTGTTGTCTCTTGAGTACTTGGACGGGGACTGTCAGGGCTCCCCATAGTGGCTGGGCCATCATAGTGTCCTACCATCACCGAGTGTGTCCCCATCCTCAGCCCACACAGTAGGCGTGTCCTTTCCATTTCTGATGGCTACGATGTGGGTCACCTTCCCGGGGGCCGTGTGGTGCACACACACTGAGAAGCGTTTCCCTTGCTTACCATCCGTGCCCTCGGCCAGGCAGACCTGTTGCTCTCTGGAATGGGAAGCTGTAGTTGGTGGAAAGTAGCTCCACTGCACATGGCTGCTTCCCTAGCTGCTCCCCTGCCTTGGCGTCGTGCCCCAGGGCCTGTGGAGACCTGGGCTCTGAGAGTCACAGGGACACTCAGAGCTTCTCATCTCCCCCAACCCAGGAGCTGGAGAAGTGCGATGCCAACCACTACATCATCCTGTTCCGCGACGCGGGCTGCCAGTTCCGGGCGCTGTACTGCTACTACCCCGACACCGAGGAGATCTACAAACTCACCGGCACGGGGCCCAAGAGCATCACCAAGAAGATGATCGACAAGCTCTACAAGTACAGCTCGGACCGGAAGCAGTTTAACCTGATCCCCGCCAAGACCATGTCTGTCAGCGTGGACGCGCTCACCATCCACAGCCACCTGTGGCAGCCCAAGCGGCCCGCAGTGCCAAAGAAGACCCAGACTCGTAAGTGACCCCGGCACGGCCGGGTCCGAGAGGACATGCCGGTGAGATCCGTATTTATTATTTCCTCCATATGGGTACGAAGCGTGCAGGGTCACGGACCTTTTCTGAGCCTCTGTCCAGAAGTGGAGCTATGGACGCCAAGTGTCCAGGCCACACTGCCGTGGCCCCGCTGACCTCCGGGCCTCAGATGAGGACGCCGTGAGCAGAGCCCTGGCTGTGCGTCTCCCTTCCTTGAAGCTCTGCAGGATGAGCTCCGCCTGTGCTCCGGCCTCCTGCTCCCTTTGCACATTGCCTGAGCCTCGCGCTGGCCGGCGGGGTCACCCGGGATCGGGGCAGAGGCACCCTTGGTCGGGTGTTTGAATGTCTTCATGAGAGGAGTCCGTGTGGGAAATCTTTTTCATTTGCAAAATTATATGATATTTATTGATTGTGTCTACTGCCAACCTTTGTATCTAGTTCTGAGGTTTCTGAACAACATCCTGTTCCTTGCTGCTCAGACAAAGTTTACTGAGAACACCAGTTCACTAAGAGCACTGAAATGGGCGACGTCTGTCTTTGCTAAAAACGTTTACAAACGCGGAGGGGCTGCTTCTGCTGTGAGCAGGACCGTGAGGGCACTGGCGGCTGGTGCAGGCCAGCGCGGCAGCCCGCGGTGGTCTGTTCACTTTAATAAAGACAGTTTTGGTACCGGAGCCATCCGCTCTGCGCGTGCTTCCCGGCCGCCTGCCTGCCACTCTGCTTCTCGGGGCAGCGGTGCGCTGGGAGCCTGTGAGGCCGGGACCGTTTGTTCCCTATCTGAAGCAGTTACGTGGTCATTCCCAGCTATTCCTGTGGGTCCCCTGGGTGCCCGGTGCTCCTGCAAAGCGGACCCCAAAGGGCCGGGCTCGCACCCTCTGGCTAGTGCTTGTGTGGTGGACCAGCCGCTGGAAGAGCCCACAGCCCGACATGTTCGTTTGCACACGTTGTTTGGGGAGTGTTACTTGAATCTGTCCTGAACTGCAGAAAACTCGAAGAATGAGTCGAGTCCCGTGTGACTGTTCCGTGACCCCCTTAGGTACAGGAAGGCAGTGTGCTGTGCAGGTGGAGGGGAGCTGCGCCTGCCTGGCCCCGCCCCCGCCCCGCCCCCGCCCCTAGGAGGTCGTGCAGTCTGCCGTGCACTGCATCCCGGTGCGTCCCGAGCAGGCCTGACTGCCGTGCGGCCTCTGTCCCCGGGCTGCATGGTCTCCAGCACCACACATTAGAGTCCGTGAGGTCTGCCACCACCTCCCCACACGCGGGCTTCGTTTCTCCTCCCTGCCCAGACATCGCCCTGGCTACGCAGGAAGGCACCGAGAGGGCCTCAGCGGGCTAGTGCTGCGCGTCCCTCGTGTGTGGGCACCAGGACGTGTGTGCCCATGAGCCTCACCTGGTGCTGTTGGGGTCTGGGGACCTCGCGGTTGTGTGGAGCCGGGCCCCAAGCACGGTGCTTGGTGGCCGTGCCCTGCTGCGCTTGGCGGCTCCGGCCTCCTCCACAGCCCTCGCCACACTGCAGCCCGAGCTGGGTTTCCACAGGACTTGCCTGCCATGGCTGCGGCAGGCGCTGGCTCAGCCCCACTTGACTCTGGGCTGGGCAGTATCCAGATCGCGTCACTTTGGCTGAGGGCCATATTCCCTTCCCCCACACACCCTTCTTATTTTTTTAGGTCCTGGGGATGAACCTCAGGCCTGGTGCATGCCAAGCAAGCGCTCTACCAGTGAGCTACACCCTAGCCCTTTTAAAACACTTTTATTTTGAGATAGGGTCTTGCTGAGTTTCCCAGGCTGGCCTCAAGCGTGGGTTCTTCCTGCCTCAGCCTCCCTGGTTGCTGTGCTCCAGGGTGTGCTCGCTGAGCACCCTGGTGTCCTTTTGACCCCTCTCTCATCGTGGGACTGCAGTGCGGTCTCCAGTTGACTCTACAAGCCCAAGCTATATTCTTCACTCAGGCATTGCTGAAAGGTGGAACAACACACTGGTCACTTCTAGATCATGATTTTATCCCTAAAATTGTAATTGTTATTTGGAGGGAAAAGTATTTATTGAAATAAAATTTTCTGTTAAATAATTAACTTGGGTGACCTTTCACAGATTTTCATTTATTTTGTGAAGTGGATTTGACCCGTGAAATGAGACTGGGTGCTTGAAAGCCATCCCACCTCACTGGCCTCTGTCCATGTGTCACAGCATGAGGGATGTTGGCTGGCAGTGCACGGCCCCAGGCCACACACCTTCCTGGAGCCAGGAAGCCATGCCTCACTGTCGCTCTCTGGCCGGGCTGTGCCCTCTGGTGGGGACTCAGCAGAGCCGCCCGGATGAACCCTGGGCTGCCGAGGTGTCCCCATCCCTCTTGTCCCACGCCCCAGCGCCCGTCCTTTGGGAGGGAGGTGTTGGGTTGGGCAGTTGTTCCAGAGCCAAGAGGGAGGGGCTTCATCAGAGCCCTGGGGATGGGGCTGAGCGTGGCAGACAGCCGTGGGACCGGGACGGGGCTGGGGCAGTGCCGGAGCCCAGTGGTTTGCACTGGCTCGTGGCAGGGCCTTGTGTCTTTGCAGCACATCCTGTGATCGCCTCTTGAGCAAGACCAGCATCATGGCAGAACCGACTTCCATGGGGTGGAGACCCGGCCTGAGGAGAGTGGTTCTGTGCTGGAGACGGGTGCTCTGGGAGCCCACGCCCAGGTGCGGAGGTCCTGAGTGTGACTGCCTGCTGTGCTGGCCCAGGCCTTGGTGTCGGGAGTCGCCCGGATCCCGGGAGCCCGGCAGCTCCCGCCTTGGCAGAAGCGATCTTGTCCATGGCCCAGGTGTGGAGAGGGAGATGGGCGCAGTGCCCACTCCCTGGGCTGGGAGGAGGAGCGGGCCGCGTGGTTCGTGGGGGCCCCTGCCTGGGACGCAGCGTGCGGCCTGAAGTGCTGGGTTTCTGAGCAGTGTCTTCAGTTGCAGCTAACGTGCTCATCTCCGTTCTCCAAAACAACTTTTTCTTCTATTTTAAAGAGAAAGAAACAATAACAAAACAGCAATGAAGACAAACACAAAAGAGCATAAAAACAATACAGGATTTCAAAATCCAGAAAGAACTACTTGATTTTGTCCGAGGTGGTCACTTTGGTTTTGGTTGCAGGGTGGTCCTGGTGGTGGTGAGCAGAGGTGGCCGCACCTGCAGCGGTTCAGCGCGGCCCCGGCACTGTCCGACTCAGCGGGCCGCGCCTGTGTTCATCCCCGAGCCCCCAGCGCTTCGCTTCTACGTTACCTCAGCTTAGCTGAGTTACGTGGCTGTGGGTTATGTCAGTTACATTAGCTTAGCTGTGTCAGCTGTGCTGCCAAGTTCTGTTACTGTCAGCAAATCAGTAAATGGGGCTGGCTACAGCTCAGCGGGGAGCACCTGCCCCTGTGTGTGAGGCCCCGGCTTCCATTCTCAGTGCAGCGAATGAGGCAGGAGGACCAGCTGTGTCCTGTACCCCAGGAAGGAAGGCTGCCCAGGAAGGTGCGGCTGTGGGCCCGAGGTGCTAAGGCCCCCAGATAGCAGCATGCATGTTGGTCTACAACCCACCAACACCGGGCGGGGCTGTCAGGGAGCGTAGCCTTGGGAGAGGAGAAAGCAGAGCTCAGGGCTGCAGGCACCTTGGAAAAAAGGCCGGAGGACACGCAGGGCCCTGGCCACTCCGAGCCCCTCCCTGAAGTGAGCTCTGCTTCGTTGTTTGCCTTGCCCTGAGCGGCAGCTGAATCCATTGAACAAAAAGCTCCTGCTTCCCAGATTGTAAGGTTTGTTTATTTTCATCTACCTTTAAAAAGTGACATTGATCGGAAGTAGGGGGTGTGTGTCCAGAAGTGTGCAGGTAAGCGTGCAGAGCCAGCCCCCGCCCTTCCTCGCGCACTGGGAAGGCAGTGCCCAGCTGTTCATCCACAGACGTCCAGGTGCCGCGTGTGCCCCTGCCCAGGCGTGGCCAGTGCTTCGAAGCATACCCATTGGGTGCTGAGGCCACACGACAGGCGAGGGTGAGGAGCCTCGAACGGTGGCAGCGAATTTTGCAGAACCCAAGACCTTCGCTGGAGGCGCACTGCTGGTTGGCTGTGCAGCCCAGGCTGGCGGTCTCAGTGCTGGGGCTGCAGCAGGGGATCCCAAGCTGCATCCAGGGCCGGGACCTCAGGGCCGCCGCTCGGCCGCTGTACCCGCAGGCTTGGGAGCCCAGGCTCGCTGCAGCTGCCAGGTGCTCAGCTGCTTCCTGACGGCCGAAGGGGCGCGCATCTCGTCAGGTGCGTCCTCTGTGAGCAGCCTTATTTCCTCGGCTCATTTTAATGGGGCTGTTCTGGGTAGTGGGGTTTTGCGTGGGTTCATAGGAGTCCTGGAAATCTCGGGAGCATCCTTCCATCGTGTGCACAGACGTGCTTAGCTGCGAGCGCTTTTAAAGAAACCGACGTGTTTGGAACACAGCACACATTTCTTACTGCTTTCCCCAGAGGTGGCTTATTCCCAGAGGCAGTTGCGTTCTATTTGCAAACACAGGAGTCACTGTCAGCTTACGGAAGCTGTTTACAAAGTGTTATTCTGCTGCTTCTGCTTTTAAATACACTAAGCCCTTCTACATATCTAGAGCTAGGTTTTCATATAAGAACTCGCCTCCTATCATGCAGCGCTGATAAATAAAATGGTACATGTAGCTGTGGCTGTAATCTGAGGTATCTTTTTTTTGTTTTGTTTTGTTTTTTTTTGAGACGGTTCCGCTGTGCAGTTCAGGCTAGCCTCAAACTCAAGGTGAGCGCCTGCTTCAGCCTCCTGAGTGCTGGGGTTACAGGTGTGCACCCCACGCTCGGCTGAGGTGTCTTCTGAATATGACCGCTTTGGCCTCACTTCCTGCTCTCTGCTGTCAGCCCAGCGGACAGACACAGGCGTGTGTGACGTTAGAGACGGCTAAATCCAGAATTCGTGTACAGAGGGCAGGCTTCGTTGTGGGTCTCAGCACAAAGTGTCCGGCGTGTGCCGACTTGGCTACTTCATCGCACACGGGCCGCCTCTTGCACCTGGGACTAGAGGTCACCAGCCCTGGACTTCCCCGCCCCTCGTGTACACTGCATACACAGAGAAAGATGTGTGTGAACGTGTCCTGGTGCAAACGCACTCACTCCTTCAGCAGTTGCTTCCCGCGCACCCTCCAAACCCCTGGACGAGTACAGGCAGCACCATGCCATTCCCGAAAGACAGGACTTACCGTGAACTTCAGCAAAAAGGTGTTTATAAGGTGACATTTTACTTCTTTTAACATCGCTGGGCGCGTCTGGACATCTAGGACGGACACGACGCTCCTGCGTGTTGCGGGCTTCCCTGGCAGGCTGCAGACAGTCCTCCCTGCTCCGTGCGCTGCAGTGGGTTTCCACGTCTGCTGAGCGGACCGTGTGGCTCTGCCTTCTTCCCTTAGCGTGGTGGGTTGGTCCACTGATTTTCCGGGACCCAGGCTGGCCTTATTTCTGGAATGGGCAGGCTTGACTCTGTGTGATCCTTTTCTGTTGCTGGATTTGGCTTGCTGACAGCATGTATTTGTGATGTTTTCCTGACAGATTTGTTGTCAAAATTATGGTGGCAACACAAAATAATCTGGAGCGTGTGCCTGCCTTTCCTCCCCTTCAGAAGCGCTGGGCTGTCCTGGAGGTTACAGCCTTGTGCTGTAAGCAGCACCACAGACTCAGTCCTGGAGGCCAGGCGTCCTGCAGGCTGGGCTCTGAGGTCGCGGCGACACAGGGCTGGTTCCTCTGAGGCCTCCCCTTGGCTGGGCAGTGCTGTCCTCACACGGTGTCTGTGTCCCGATCTCATTAGGGGGACGACAGCTGGATTGGGCGAGGCCGCGCCCATGACTGCATCTTAGCTTCCTTCCCTCTGAAGGCCTTGCAGTCAGCGGTGGTCACATGCAGGAGGCCAGGGCCCCAGCATACAAATGTGGGGGCGCAGTTGGCCTTAGCGGGTGGTACCCACGACAGCACCATCGCCGGGTTTCTGCTGCATGGAGCGCTGACCACTGCCTATGACGGCCAACCACTTGGTTTCTCGTCCCGTGCACCATGACCTCCCTGAAGGCACCCGTGGGACAGTGGATGTGTGACACAGGCTGAATACTAACGCAGGCTCCCACGGGCCTTCTGCTCAGGAAGCAACTTCATAACAAGATCCCAGGGACGAAGGAGTCAGGGACTAGGCCATGCCCCACTGTTTGAGGACCTTGGCCGGCCCGTCTCGCCCCACATGACTTGCTCACTGAGCAGTTCCTGTGTGCTGTGTGTGCAGCGGGTCCCAGGGTCTGCGTGGTGACACACCCAGCCTGCCTGTTGGGAGTTTGCAGTCTGCTGGCCAGCAGGAATCCACACGGAAGGATGCAGTAAGTGGCCTCAGCAGGACCTCGCCCATCCAGCAGAAGGATCTGCCCCCTGTGCCGGGGAGGCTGGGAGGTGCCTGTGGAAGCTGGCAGCTCCAGGGAGGCGGCAGCAGCTGGGGATGGAGGGACGGAGGTAGAGTTCTGCAGCCAGATGCCTGGGCCAGTGAGAGCCAGCTCTGCCTGCCTCCCTGCTTGTCTTCGAGTGAGGCTTGCTGTGCCCAGGCTGCCAGCTGGCCCAAGCCTGCTGAGACTGGACACCAGGCCCATGCCTGAGGCTGCCTGAGGTGGACAGCAGGAACCTCAGGCCCTGGTTCATCCTGACCTGCTGGCGTGGAGGGTGGAGTGTCCCGGGGGACCCCATCTGCACTGTACCTCCTGTGGGATGCCCTGGGGCAGGAGGGCTCGCTGGGTGGGCGCAGAGGACAGAGGACCCCAGCCTCCCTGTGGGCAGCCCAGGGGAGCTGGGCGCTGTCCTCTGTGTGTCCTCTGTGCTCCTCACTCAGGGTGCTGGCGCCTGGAGGCGTGGGGAGCAGCTTGGGGCAAGGGGGGTGTGCAGACCCGCTGCAGGGAGGCCGAGGCTGCTGGCGAGCAGGGTGCTGCCCTGCCGGCCTTGGGGTCTCCAGGGCCAGGCCTGACGTGGCCGCCCAACTCCCTGCTCTGCGTCCACCTTGCTGTGGCACACAGGGCAGTCGGGGAAGCTGGGCTGGACCAGGAGCTGGGGTCCTGGGGCGGGCAGTCTGGCCAACAGGGTGGCAGATGCACGTCCACTCAGCCTGAGGCCACTGCGCCTGCTGCAGCTCCACCCTCGGGTCAGAGGCTCAGCCAGCACGGGCCACCGCCTGGAGCGTACCCTCTAGCTCAGTGAATAGGGGAGCCACATGGGGTGGGTCCCTTAGGGAGGCCCTGGGCACGTTTGTCCCCGCCCATCCCTGCATGCACTGGTGCCTCCTCACTCGCAGGAGACTGACTCACTGCAGCCCAGGCATCCGTGGGCACGGGCACGGGGAGACACAGGTACAGGGCCCCAGGACCACAGCACCACACAGAAGAGGGCAGCCGGGGGGCGGGGCAGGAGCGGGAGGCCAGCAGGGCACTGCTCTGAGGGGAGGGGAGGGGACAGTGACCAGCCAGCAGCTGCGGCAGGGCTGAGGAGCAGAGGGACACAGCCGCCTGGTGCCATGCTGCTAAGCCTGGCACCAGTGGAGGTTTGGAGCTCACCCTCTAGGGGAGGCCCTCAGGAGGGGCTGTCCGGGTCCCCACCCCTACCACAGCGGGGGGTGGGGGTGCAGGACCATGGTGGGGATCCAGAGGGGGCCTGCCCCGTGGCCACCTGGACAGCGCTGGGCTTCGCCAAGGCCCTGCCTGCAGGGAGGACGCCTCCTTACCCACCAGTCACATGGTGGGGACTTGCCAGAGGCTGGGCAGGGCAGGGCTGGGGCTTAAAGGGGGGCTGTGGCCGGCATCCGGCTGCCACTTCCTGGCCCTGCCACTGCCGGAGCCCCCTCCACCCCAGCTTCCTCGCTGGTCACTCTCAGCGGGGTGAGGCAGCCTGCGTGGGGTCCTGGGCAGAAAAGGGGCAGGGTTGGGACAGCTGTCTGTGCACAGCCGGCCCACCTGTGTGCAGCCCTCGGGCTGAGGAGAGCAGCTGTGCCAGTCTCCTGGCTTCCTGTGGATTTGGCTGCGAGGTCTGGGGTGCAGCACTGCTGAGGGAGCCCCACCCAGGGTCTGGTCCCCTGGGAAGCTGCGGCCCCCACTGGAGCTGAAACTCCCGTGGAACCTGACCGCAGTCTGAGCCCGTTCTGCTGCAAGGTCACCCGCCCTGAGCGCTTCGAGGGGCCCTTAGCTGGCGAGTGAATGCACCTCAGGAGAGGGCAGAGGCCGCTGGGGAGCTGTGGAAGAAACTGCTCCGCAAGGCGGGCACCGTCTGCATGTGCTCAGAGGGACCTGCACAGCCCTGGGGCATGAGCAGGGTGGTCACCGGGCCCAGCCTGCAGGCTCCCCTGCCGTGTGGGCGGTGGGACTGTGGCGGGGAGGCTCCGGCCCTGCTCTGAGTTGTGCCCAATGCCCCAAGGCCACCCAAGCCCCAGCCCAGGGGGTGAAGGTGGGTGCCCAGCCCCTGTGCAGGGGGCTGCGAGGCAGAATGCCCAGGAAGCTGTGGCCCGCGCCTGCGTATCCTGAGCCCTCGAAGTTGGTCAGAGAGGCTGGGTGGGGACCGTGCCTTTCATGGATGTGGCGGCTGAGGGACTGCTGTGTGTGGCATGCCTGCCGGCTCTGCCCCCGTGTGGGGTGTGAGTGGGCAGAGACTGCAGAGGCCAGCTCCTCCACCCTTTGCGCCTCCCTTGCCCCCTGCGGCTGCACTGGACATCTCCTGGGAGCCCACGCGCTTTCGACATGCTGGCTGCTTTGAGCGAGCCTTTCTGTGGCTTCCGGGAGGTGGCAGGAGCCGTGACAGCGCTCCCTCACCAGCAGCAGCAGCAGTGCCCAAGGCACTTGTTCTCAGCCAACAGCTTTTGAGAAAGTCAGGAGAATAAAAAGCTTGTTACTAATATGATGTGTTTCAAAAATCCTCCCGCCAGGTGTTAAAGTCCTAGCTCCTGGGCAGCCGCAGCCCTGGCGGCCAGCTCGGCCAACAAGTGTCTCAGGAGAGCTTTTGGGGTTGGCAGGCAGGGAACTGCGGGGACCTTGGTGGGCGGGGACGGCCAGGCTCCTTGGTGCCAGGGCCATCCGTGAACAGACGCAGGACACCCAGAGGCACCAGATGCCCCCCAGCCTGAACATGGAGAGGGTGGAAGCCGAGGGCAGCCCGAAGCTTCAGGTGCACAGGCAGCTTTTATTGGGCTGGTGACTGACATCTCGCAGGACAGCTGTCCTGGCCAGCGAGGGGTACACCCCCGGCATCCGGTGCAGCAGGGCACCCTGTCCAGGGCCTGGTGTCCTCAGCAGCTGAGGCCCCTGGCATGCCCATTTCGGGAGCCACCCCCGCCCCCACCAGGGACCAGGAGGGTGCCGCTGTCCACAGCCTCCCACTACAGCCCGAGCCCAAAGTGGGGTTGGCCCCTAGGGACAGCAGCCCTTCCGGTCAGGTGGCTGCACACGGAGCTGGGGCGTGGCACAGATGTGGCTGAGGGCACTGAGGCCAGGCTCGGCTCGTCCTGCTGCACAAAGCTGGGGGTTCCTTGGAGCTGCTGGTGACCTCTGCCCAGCCGGGGCGGCCTGCCCACCCCAGCCCAGGGTCAATGTTGCCACTCCATTAGGGCCCGGGGCTTCCCTGTCCTGAGGCCACTGGGCCCTTTCTTCCCTAAGAATGCTGCGCTGAGGACTTCTAGGCACTTGCTTAGCAGGCACCAGGCAGGCCAGGGTGGGGGCACGAGCTGGACGTGTGTCCGAGGCATGCACTGGGGAGCCTGGCCCCGGGCCACCCCATCTGGTGGGCAGGTCCCCCCAGCAACTGCCCTGTTGTCCCTGAGCTGCCCTGATGTCAGGAGCCCTTCCTTTCACCCCAGCCTCTTGGGGTACCCGAAATGGACACAGGTAAGGTGCACAGCCCTCTCCCCTAAAGGAGGGGGTCCCCAACAGCTGTTGGACCTAGAGGAGCTGTGCCCGTCCCAGGCCTGTTAGGGGTCTCCTGCCCCAGGGAGCTTCCTGGACACTAGGCGTGCCCTCCGCCCCAGCCACGCTGCCGACCTGCCACACGGGGTTTGATGCCCGCATTTTGGAAGGGCTGTGCCGGCTGGGTCTAGGTCAGGCGGAGACCACAGCGGGTGTTTTAACCTCACAAAGGGGAGCCCAGGTGTCTTCCAGCCTTGGGCCAGAGCCCCGAGGGCCTGGGCAGCTGCCTTGGAACACGTAGCCTGCAGAGTGCAAGGGTTACCAGGTGCTGGGTGAGGGGCACCCCGGCACCCGGCCTGGAGGAGACCGTGGAGGCCGAGGACAGCGGCTAGCAGCCAGGGCTAATTGTGCTTCTTGTGTCGGGGTTCGAAACAAGGCTTTGCTTTAGAAGAGTGTAGCACAGGCCACGTCCCCAAGAGCCGGCCAGGAAGTCTCATGTAGGAGTCAGGAAGGTCTGACTACATGGAGGTGCAGGCTCAGTGCTGGCAGGGGGTGCCCTCGCACTGTTCCAGGGCTGCCCACAGGCTCCACACCCAAGCCCTGTAGGAGCTTTACATCACTGGCATGACGGGCAGGTCCCATGTGGGCCATGAGGCTCCCTGCACCAGGTCCCAGGCACCTGCCCAGCCTCCAGCAGCGCCCGGGTGTGGCCGTGCAGGGCAGCAGACTCGGTGGTGTCCAGTCCCCACCTGTCCCCTCTTGGCCACCACCCTTCACCTTTGCCGGGTCCTGGTCACGAGTTGCGGTACAGCTGCGAAGAGACATGGGTCATACAGATTTGTAAAAACAGGTTAAAAAGGCTTCCCGCCAGCTTCTGGGGAGCGGGTGGAGGCCCTCCCGTTCCTGGCCCCACACAAGGCCTCCTTGCAGCCGCGTCCCAGGAGCCACCACAGCCACTGTGGCTGCAGCAGCACAGGGCTGCTCCCTCCGAGTCCTGGCTGTGGCCCCATGGGGCCAGGTCCTGGGCCTCAGAGCTGTGTCTCGTCGCGGGTCTTGGGGTTGCAGGATGACAGTTTGTAGCTACAGCTGCTCCTGTGGCCTGGGGAGCCACTGGCCACGTGGGCCAGCGGGTCAGAGCGGATGAGGTACCTGCGGAGGAGGACACCAGGGCCCTGGAGGAGCGGGACCTCTCTGCCCGTGCCACGCCAGGCCCCTGCCACCCCACGCCCGGCGGGGGAGGCGGCCCACTCACACAATGTCACCGGGCTCCAGCCGCGTGTCGGGCGGGGGGTTGATGAGGACATAGGACAGGGTGTTCTGCTGATCGTTCATCTCATCTGCGAAGGACACAGCCGCACGGCATCAGCACCTGGCCCTGGCCCTGGCGGCTCTGCAGGACCCCGAGCCCAGGCAGAGAGGCTCTTCTCTGCCGGCCTGCTACACTTGTCCCATCCTCCCTGCACAGGCAGGTCAGCCGTGGTCTGGCCACACCTCACAGCTCAGCTGGCCCAGGCAGCCAGCAGAGGGGCCATCGCAGCAGGGTGGGCTGAGCAGAGGCAGTGGGCATCCACACACATACCCACACAAGAGCACACACTTCACACATGCCAGCACACACTGCCCACACACACACCCACACACCCTCACACGACACCCCTGTGTGTGCCACACAGGCCACACGCCCACACACCTGCACAGCCAGCCCGGCGTGCCAGTGTGACCCCGCCCATTCCACACCCTTCCTGCTGCTCTGCAGCACCGCATCCCGGAGCCTCCCCTGGTCAGCCTCCCCCACTCTATGGGCTCAGCCCTGTCTCAGACCCCAGTCCAGGGCACGTACTGAGCTTGCGGCTCTAAGATAGGACCCTTCTGCCAGGGGCCAGGGCCAGGGCCAGGGCCAGGGCCGGGGTCTGCCCACCCTGGGAGGCAGCCTAGGGCACACGGTGGCTGTGGTGCTGCCCGCACGGTGAGGATGGCTCCCGACAAACTCTGGTCATCTCTTAGACATCTGCACTCGGCTGGCAGAGTGCCCCGGCCAAGCCCAGGGACAGAAGTGTGGCCAGCGTGCTGGCCGTGGCCTTGAGCCCACTGGCCTGTTTGCCTGTTTGCTCCTTTCTAAAGGAGCCCTGGACTCCCAAGAAGACAAAACGGTGGCCCAAGACAGGACGTCTCTCCTCCCAACCCTGCCACTTCGCCTCTGCACATCCTTGCTGGGGGACCGCGCGGGCCATGCTGCCTGGGAGGGCCAGGGTCTCTGCAGGCTGGGGAGCTGTGGCTGCAGTGGGGCGCAGAAGCCACCTTGTGTCAGTCAGGGCTGCGGCTTTCTTGCTGCGGTCAGAGTTTATGTGGAGAGGGCGGGGTGGTCCTCGGGGACCAGAGGGGGGACCTTGACGGGCGGGTCAGCCTGACCACCTTGCCCCTCCGCAGCAGGGGGCTCATTCTGTCCCAGGTACACAGCCGGTGATTCTGGCCCCTGCCAGGTTCCCCAGGCCCTTTGCTGACCCCGAGTGGGGGGCGTGGACCCGAGACCATGTGCCCCACGCAGCTGATGGTGCAGGTGCTTCTTGCCAGCCCTGCACCCAGACCACAGCCACCAGCAGGGAACCATGCCGCGGCAGGCACAGCGGCGCCCCGCAAACGAGAGCCACCAGCACGCCACCCCAGGGCACAGCCCAGTCCCACCGTGCGCCAGTCGGCCGTGCTCTCAAGGGCGAGCCGGGCTCTGTGCTTCCTGGGGCACTGGGTACTGGGTGCGCCTGGCACGTGCGTTCACTCTGCTGGGTCAGTCGGCGGGCTGTGCTGTTCCGAGTGGCCATCCCCATCCACACGTGGGGCCTGGCTCTCAGGAGCGGTGGCAGAGGTACCCACTGGGCCCCTGCTCCCAGACCCTCGCCCAGCATGACAGGCTCCTCCCACCTCTTCCAGCTTCTGCCTGCCACTCTGGGACTCAGGCCCCGCCCTGTGCCCCGCTCACTGTGCCCGCGTCCTTGGCCTAGCCAGAGCCTCCCCTGCCCAGGTGCACTTTCCTTCGCCTCACTGCACCCTGAGGGCCTGGCGGTGAGGCCCACCCTGGGGTGCCCTCCAGCAGGACTGCCTGCCCTGCTTTCCATCCTGGCCCAGGCAACAGCAGCTGTCTGCTCACAGGGTGCTGCTCCAACCTCTGCCCTGGGCTCGAGGGCCATCTCCCCCGCCAGCACACGGGTGTCACTCAGGAAGCGCCGTTTGCAGGCACAGGCAGGTCTGGTGACCCTCAGGGTCTGCAGCTGCCCACCTGCCCAGGAGCCATGGGGACGCGGCACAGCCAGGCGCAAGGCAGCGTCCAGTTCATGGAAGCCGCCAGCCCTGGGCCGAGCCCAGGTGCCCAGCAGAGGGCGCTCTTCCATGAACCAAGCCGCGGGCTGAGGAGGAGGTGAGTGGGGAGCACTGCCAAGGCTTTGCCCTGTGGTCGCCCTCAGAGGGCCTCACCAGAGTCAACGTCTGCCTCCCTGCCCTGGAAGGTCCCAGTGCCCTCAGGGGGCCAGGAGCCCGGGCCTGGACTCTGCCCTGAGCTCCAAGGCCTTGGGGTGGACACCCAGGGAGGAGTAGGTATAGGTAGCCTCGTCTCAGCCAAAGAATCCTAATCTCGAAACCCCAGTGGAAGGTGGGCACCACATCCACCTGGCCCCAGCAGCCCCCCAAATCCAGGCAGGGCCGTCCCAGCCCAGGCTCCCCCAGCTGTGCTGCAGGGCAGGGGCCACAGCCTCCCTCAGGCTGGCCTCAGAGCTTGCAGGCACCTGGGTGGCATCCTGCCAGTGCCAGGGCCTGGCGAGGTCAGCCTCGTCCTCTGCAGCAGGACGGATGGGCTTGGCTGGTAGGCACGCGCCACACTCCAGCGGCCCTGGACCAGCACAAGCACAGATGACCCCAAGGAAGGCACGAGGTCCAGCCGGGGGACCGTCCACACCCAGGCCCTGCTTGCCAGGGAGAGGCCTGGCCCTCTCTCATCTCTCCTGCTACTGCCTGGCCCAGCCGGGGCAGCAACCGGCTGGCACGTCCCCTGAGCAGCAGTCTGTGTCCGCCAGGGCAGAATTACCTTGCAAATATCCCAGGTTTACCCGATTCATGACATCACTGGCTGTTAAATTTGCTACGTCCTCTAAGAACACACAGGAGAGGCACAGACAGAAACAGAGAGAGAGAGAGAGAGGTCAGCAAGCCTCGGGGCGGGGACACGGCGGGGCGGGCAGCACAGCGGCCAGCTGCGCAGGAGGCATCCACAGTCGTGGCGACGGTGGCGGCCAGCAAGAGCCACCTTGGAAAGCCTCTGGGTTGCCAACAGGAAGCAGGCTGGCTCCGGGCTCTTGTGGGTATGCAGCATCTTGGGGGCCGAAGGGGTGCAGGGCAGGCACTGCACTCTCCCTGTGCCGTGCCCACCATGGGCTGAGAGAACAGGACCCACTCTGAGCCCTGGTGGCCGCTCTCTGGAAGCAGGCAGGGATGCCAAGGGACACTGGCGCAGGCATGGTGATGCCTCCGGAGTCCCCAGGGCTGTGGCTGGGAGAGGTCCCTGTGAGTCACCCTTGGAGGAGCCACTGCCACCCTGCACCCAGCATGCCAGGCCTTGGGGGCCCTGGGCAGCTCCTTCCACTTGGGGCTCAGGGCCTGGCCCTCATGGCGGACACAAGAAGCAGCAGCCTAAGCCATAGCTGGGCCTGACGTGGAGCCCGAGGGAGGCCAGGCCAGAGGGGGGATGTGGGGAACAGAGGCGCAGGCCAGGGGTGGGGGCCAGGCCCTGTGTCCTCATTGGCAGAGGCAGCAGCTCCACGGGAAGTGGAGGGGACAGGCCTCTGCCAGCTGGGCACTTGGGCCCATCATGCATGTCCCTAAGCAAGGCCCACGAGAGGGTGCTGTGTGAGCTGGCCCACAGGGGTGCCGGCAGACTCCGCGGCAGCAGAGATGGCAGCTACCTATGCCCCGGAGAGGTTAGCAGAGGGGGCACCCTGGTATGACTACCCTGTCCCTGTGGTGGAGACCCCGTGCTGTGGCATTGGGACGGACTCCTTCACTGCAGGCCTTGCAGGGCAGCTTGTCTGTGCCCATGCGGGCTTTGGGCTTCATCCTGCCCCGGCTGCAGGCTCAGCCACACCTCCCTGCCCAGACGGGGACACCAAGGCAGGCCCAGAGCGGCGAAGAGAATAGGTTGTGGCCCACACAGCCCACCCACCCCTGTGCCCTCCGCCAGCCCATGCGGGAAGCTGCCCACGCAGGGCCGGGTGGGCGGCGCTCACCGTAGCCGGTGGTGGGCAGCCCCAGGTGCTTCATGCGGTTCTTGACCAGCTCGGAGAGCTCCTGGCGCTCGGAGCGCCGGCACAGGCTGAGCCGCTGCTGGCCGGCCCACTCAGCTGAGGGCGCCTTCCCCGAGGGCCGGGAGCCCTTGCGGCTCAGCTTCCGGGCCCACTGCAGGCTCTTGCGCCGCAGCAGAGGGTACTCGGCCGGGTCGCTGCTGCCTGTGTGGCGGCCGTGGGCGCTGCCCCCGCCAGGCCCAGCCCGTGCACCCCAGGGACCCCTGGCCTCTCGTGTGTCCTCACGCTCTTCCATGTTCACCGACACCTGAGACTGGGCGGGCAGAGGCCGTGGGCTGGGGCTGGGGCTGGGGAGGCTGGGCCAGGCCCGGGGCTCGCAAGCCTTTCTGCTCCAGCCCAGGACGGTGCGGGGCCTCGGGTCCCCGCCTGAGCCCACACACCCCGCCATAGACCTGTCCAAGGGCGGGTCCCAGCCTGCCCCGTCCCCTGGCCCCGGTAAACCTGCGTCTCTGTGGGTCTGGCTTTCCCCAGAATCATCCCCCGTGCCTCACCCTCCCCATCTGCAGACAGGGAGCCATCTGTCGCAGTCACAGCTTTGGGCACTGGGCATAGCTCGGTGGGCACCCATGCTGGGGAAGACGTGGGGACCCCTCGGGAAGCACCTCAGAGGGCCAGGGCTGCTGGGGTGAGGAGGCTGGGGCAGACCGTGGGGATACACGCTGGTGGCCCGGGGGAGGCCAGCTATACCTACTGAGACTCACTCCAGCCTCAGCTTCCCCACCAGTACAGGAGACGGCCAGGGCCCTTGAGCCCTGTGCTGTCTCAGGGCCAGCGCATCCTGGACACCGTGCCCACCACACGCCTGAGGGGAGGGGGCCCTGGGCAGAGTCGGGTGCTCACCTGGGCTCTGATGTCTTGGGGCTGCAGAGGAAACAGGGCTGGGCTGGGGCCTGGGGTGCAGCTGCGGCCCCTCCCGGTGCCCAGTGTCAGGGCGGTGGGCAGGTCGCCCGCTGGGGGCTCCAGCGCACGGGGCTCGGCCCTCCCTGTGGCTCTGAGGCCCCTGGGTGCAGCCCACGCCATGCCGCCCGCCGCCCACCTGCAGCCCACCTCAGAGAAGACGTGGCACTCGGTCCTGTAGATGCCGATGGGGATCTCGGCACTGGAGGAGCAGAGCTTTTGGAAGAGGCGGCCGTAGGTGCGGATCCACAGGTCGTCCTCCGTGATCTTCATCTGCAAGGGCCTGGCCCTGAGCCTGCGCCGCTGGCCGCCGGAAACCCAGCACCGAGCCAGCGCCCTGCCTGCCCTGCCTCCCACACTCACGGCACAGAGGTAGCCAGAGCCGGGTGTGGTGTCCAGGCCCAGCAGCAGTCGGGTGATGGTGATCATGTAGTCCTTCACGAAGGACTGCGGGGTGCAGGAGGCGGCCAGTGACTGCCTGCCCTGAGCCCCTGCCTGAGCACAAGCGCAGGGCAGCCCCAGACCCGGGGATAGCTCGAGGTCCAGCCAAACGCGTGGAACCCGAACCCAAAGCCCAACCCTGAGCCCAGGGCAGCGGGGTGCAGGCCAGGGAGGGGCATGGAGGGCCTCTCGCCCTGCAGTCCGACTGACCTGGTAGAGCAGCGTGTCGAGCATGCTGATGCTGAACACGCGGCCAGCGGCAAACGGCAGGCGGAACATGAAGGCCAGGTTGGAGCCGTTCTCACGCTCCCGCTGTGGGAGAGGGGGCCTCAGACACCCGCACCCACCACACGGACGCAAGCACACACACGAGCACCCACCAGGGGCTATGTGCCCAGCACACTCCCAGGGGAGGGGCAATCTGGGACCCAGAGGGGCACCACTTCCTGCTCTGTGCCCCTCACCCCCGCAGTTGGCAGCCTGAGGCTCGCTTCATGGGGTAGGGAGGCGGAGGGGGAGGGGACCCAAGGCTTCACGTGCCAGGCCAGGCTCACACGCAGCTGAACCCCAACCCCAGATTCTTAACCCAGCAGTTTCATCTTGACCGGCACTTTGTGCACACAGAGGATGCCAGGCATGGGCAGGAGTGGGGCAGTGAGCCAGCGGGCACCTGCCATGCCCTTCCCACGTGGTGCCCAGGACCCTCCCGGAGCCAGCAGACCTGCAGCACGAGACTCTGGGGCTGCCACAAACTTAGTGGCGTCTCCTCCTCCTGAAGGCCAGGTCAGGGGCCTTGCACCCTGTACAGCAAGGCAGCTCCATGGTCACGTCCTGGGCGCCTCCGTGACCCCAGCCAGGGCCTCTGCCTCCATCCTCCAAGCCCCGGCAGCCCCCGCCTGTCTCTGCCTCCCTCTCCAAAAGCCACGGTGACCTGTGGGGCCCGCGTGGCCAGCCCTGGTCCTCTCCCACACACAGTCCCTTCTGCCACAGCAGCAGACACCTCCCCGGGCGCTGGGACTGGCACGTGACGGATTCCGGGCCCTTCTTCACCCATCTGTGGCCATGTGGGGCAGCTCAGAGGTATGCAGCTTCCAGGCACACAGCCAGGCGCCCAGTGAGACCTCCCTCCAGCCCAAGGTGGCATCGGGCGTGTGGGGCGTCGCCGTGCAGAACAGGGCACACTGACCCCGCATTCACAGAGACCCCAGATCGGCACGGCCGGGGAGGAGAGGGACGGTGAAACCCACAACATTAAAACCATTGCCTCCCTGGACCCCGAAGAACCCCAGGTGACAGTCCCAGCAGGAGGAGGGAGGCGGCGCCACGCTCCCCGCGGAGCCCTCCCTGCTTCCGGCCAGGGCCGCGCCTCTTCCTCCCGCGTGGCGTCCACGCAGCTGTGTCCACGCAGCTGTCCCCACGCAGTGGGGCCGGGATGCGGCGTGACGCCAAGGCCGCCCGGGTGCTGCGGAGTGGACGCTTGGCTCGGTGTCCCGGCCATCCACACACACTCGTGCACAGCCTTCTCACCACGGCACGCTCATCTCCATGCCGGAAACGGTTTCCACTCCGCCTTCCGCGTCGGCTTGGAGGTAAATCCAGGGCGTCTCATGGACTCCGACCCTGGGCAGCAGCGGCCGCCCATTCTTCCCCGGGGGAACCCGCTCCACACAGGCTCGGCCACAGGAGCTCAGGGTGACGTCTCGTTCAAAACTTTCTTCTTTAGCTTTTCAGGGTTACTTTAGGCCATGGAATACGCATTTCCTTAAATGTGCTTTTATATTCAACTAAATCACGTTTCTTTTAAAAGAGGGTCTCAAGCTTCCGGGTGCGCTGAATATCATGTCTGGAGACCCAAGGGACCTGGGAACTCCAAGCCCAGAAGATGAGGGCCCTGTCCCCGCAGCAGGCCTGGCACCCACCAGGGACCATATGGCCACAGACCCTGACACCCCATCCCGAGCCACGCCCTGAGAGCTGGCAACCCTGACGGACCACCCCAGCTGGTCTCTGCCATCCCTAGCATTAGAACCCCTGGATGAGCCCTTCACTATCAAGAGGTGGAGGAGCAGGTGGGCGGCACCCCAGGGAAGGAGCTTGGCTGCCCAGCCTGGGCGGAAGTGGTGACGGCTGCTGACGTCCACAGGGCCAGGCAGTGCCAGGCTGCTGCATATCCGCCAACCTCCCTGTCCAGGCTGCTTGAGCCAGACTTGTTTCTGGGGAGGTGGCGCTGGTTCTGGGACAGCTGTGGGCGCTGTCTCCATGTACGCTGACCTGGGCTTGGTCTCCGGGTGCCGCCGAGAGGCCTCCTCAGCCCCAGTGCAAGCCCAGGTGTGGCTGAGGAGGCAGAACTGCCCTGTGTGACTCCTCCTGGGGCGTGAAGTCTGCCCAGCTTAGGGAGGGACAGGGTTCCCACAAAGGCACCTCCTGCTCCTCGAGTGTAGCCGGAAGCCGGCGTCCCTAGGGCCTGGGTCCGACTGAGTGGAACTCGTGTGTATAAAGTCAGTCCCAGCTCAGGCAGGTGGCGCTAGCAGGTTCTCTCTGGCCGGCCACACAGGCCACGGCACCGCCAAGCCCAGCCTGGTGACTACAGCTCATGAGGAGCAGCAAGGTCTCTTGCAGCAACTTGCTGGGTCCTGAGCCTCCGGCTGCCCTCAAACGCGCCTGCCACTGGTGGGCAGGTGGCACTGCCACTGGCCTAGGCAGGAGGCACCGGGACACCTTGACAGGGACCGTGTGCTGAAGGGTCTCAAGCGCCCGCTGGGCCCTGTGTCTGCAGTGTCCCCAACCCTGGTGGGCCTGTCCTGGGCTCCACACCTGACCCCAGCTGCCACCCTCCACGGAGCCCCCAAGTGAGAAAGGGGGAGCAGAGCAGGTGACTGGGGCCTGGCCCTGCTCCGTCCCCAGTGGTCAGTGGACGGCCAGAGGAAGCGCCTGGGGCCCAGCAGGCTCTGGGAATCTAACGGTAACTTAGAGGGGCCCCATGCTGACCGAGGACCAGCAAGACAGCCAGCCTCGGCCTCTGGAGGAGGGCAGGAGGGTCCCGCGGTGACTGGCGACCCATGGGCTCAGGGGAGCGGCCCATCCCCATGCCAGAAGCCTTGCTTGCGGCCACTCACCTTCTCCAGCTTGGAGAGCGCCAGCGAGTAGCTGTCCTTGGCGCGGAACTGCATGAAGCGCATGTTGGAGGGGTGTGTGAGCTCCGTGGTGATGCTGAGGCTTGGGAAGAGCCTGGGCGGGGTCAGGCCGTGGGCGTGAGCTGGGCCCGCCGGGCTTGTGCTGGGGTCACAGTGCGGTCCCCGCCCCGCCACGGCCCTCACCGGAACATGGTCTGTACGTTGACGATGGTCTTGGCATCAGCCATGTAGTCCTCCTCGGCGCTCATGGTGCTCTCCTTGTCCACCACCACCAGGTTGTCGGCGTAGATGATGCCGCACTGCAGCAGGCTGTCCAGGCTGCGGGCGGGAGGAGCCGTGGCTGCGACTCCGCTGCCCGCCCGCCCACTGCCCACCCGGGGATCGTGGGGCACGGTGGCATGCGGGGTGCAGGCCCACTGTGGCCCCGGCCTCACTTGTCCACGGAGCCCTCCATGTAGTAGACCATGGGGAAGCAGCAGATGGCCTCCAGGAAGTGGTGGTCAGGCCTGCAGGGACAGCAGGTGGGAGGTGGCACCTGCTCTGCATCCCACCCTCCCCACTCCAGAGCAGCAGGGGGCCCAGGGGAGCCACTGGAGCCCAGGGGAGACTGGGGCCCAGCAGGGCATTCAGAGCAAACCACCGAGACCAGACCCTGGGCTGGGACGCGAGACGGAGGGGAGGGGAGGACGACGCAGCTGCCGCGGCGCAGCAGCGCCACCTGTTGTCCAGCAGCAGCACGATGGGGTTGAGCTCCTTGCGCGGCCGGTAGTAGGCGCGCAGCGGCACGATGAAGTTGTACAGCCCGTTGCCGGCCGTCTCCGCGGAGACAATGATGAGCTTGTTCTTGAACCCATAGGCTTTGGCGTCCTCGTAGCTATTGTGCTTGCAGCCCTGGGGGCGGAGCACACGCTGCCACCCAGGCCAGCTCCACCTGCCTACAGCCTGGGCCCACCACGATTGCATACGTCCGTAATCACAGAACTTGGGAGGCTGAGGCAGGAGGGTCACCCTGAATTTGAGGCCAGCCTGGGCTGCACAGTGAGTCCAAGACCAGCTTGGACTTCACAGTGAGACCCTGCCCCCCCAAAATACCTAAAACCAAAAAAATAACCACAAAGACCCAGAATGGAGGATAAGCCCCTGGGAGGCTCCTGTGGGAAGGCGCTGTCACCAAGGACCACAAGGCCACTGAGACCATCTGGCATGGGCTGAAGTGGACCAGACGCCAAGTCATGTCCTGCACTGCGGTCAGCAGGCTGGTCCTCCCCCTTAGGGACACAGACGTGGTTGGAGCTCAGCTCTCAAGTAGGGCAGAAGAAATGCATTCTAGGATCGGCAGGGGTGGCCCAGCACAGTGGACAGGGGTGGCCCAGCACTAGCAGGCTGCACTATGGAGGCTCGGCCAAGCGATGGGCACACCCTGCAGCACCTTCCCGAGTCGGCAGGGGCCTCAGACCACCATTCACGAGGGCGGGACACAGCACTCGGGTCGGCCCCCCTCACCTTGTCCAGGCGCAGGCAGCAGAACGGGGCCTTCACAGGCAGAAGGTGGCACAGCGTCGGGGAGCTGCCGATGTAGGGCGAGTTGGGCGGGTAGCCCTTCACATACCTGCCCAGAGACAGAGATGGACACAGAGCTGGGCCCTCAGCACCGCCCGCATGACGGCTCACAGCCATCCTGCCCAGGGGCTCCAGGGCACCCCCTCCGCCCCAGGTACCCTCGCTGGCTGGCCGAGGTGGCCTGCTCTGCCCAAGCCCCTCACCCAAGAAACCTCTCCGGAGCCAAGTCTGTGGCTTCTATGGGCCCACCCAGCCCAGGCAGCCATGTGAGGCCAGGATTTGGAGGAGCTGTCCTTGCTCCTGGGTCAGGAAAGACTGCAAGGCCAGGGCTGGGGGGACTTGGCCCCCATGGAGTCCCGGGGTGGCTCAGGCCAAGTGGGGTACAGAAGGGGCCCTCGCTGGTCTTCTAGCAGGTGCCCAGACCTCTTCCTGATCCCAACAGTGCTAGTACACGCCACGTCATGCCACTCAATGCCACGGCCCTGCCAGGTGCCTAAGGGATGTGGCCTCAGGGGTCCACCTGCGCCTGCCCACAGTGTTGCAGCCCTGGCCCTCGGCCCCTCTGTTAGACACCACCTGTCCTGTGGCCACATGCAGAGAACTGACTGGGCCTCCGCTGAGTGCACAGGAAGTGGCCACTCACGGTGGGCTGTGGTCCTGTGCCTGGACATGGGCTCCCCAGGGGTCCCACTGGGACTGCTGCGGACACCTGGAGCCAGAGGGACTGTGCCCTGTGGTGCCGAGGGGTGACCGGGGGCCATGCCCGGCTCCACTGTTGCTGCAAAGCAGCTGAGGGCTGGGGAGGCGGGCGAGGGGGCTCTTCTCCGGAGCCCTTGAGGGTCCTACCCTCTCACCCCAGGGGCGGTGCACAGCCCAGGGGCCCTCTCGGCATATGGCTCAGCCAGTGGGGGCCAGGCTCAGGCACAGGGCCCTAGAAGCTCCCCCAGCCTGACAAGGCTTCGGAGACCCCTCTCTGCCAGCCCCTGCTGCACTCACTCCACCGTGGAGAGGCCCTCATCCTCGGAGGGCGTGGCTTCGTCCTCCGACTGGTCGCTCAGCAGATCGCAGGGCAGCAGTGCCGAGCTGTCCGCCAGCTCCAGGACGGGCGCGATGCTGGGGCGCCGGCTGCCTGAGCCGTTCTCCGCGGGCAGCGTCAGCTTGCTGCCACCACCGCCCTGTGCGGGCCGGCACTCGGCGTTCTGCAGGTCCATGGCCACTGTCCCTGGGGAGGTGCAAGCGAGGCCAGGCCGTCCTCACCCGCTGCTCAGCTCTCCCCCGCGGAATGTGGGTCTCCGGCCCAGCAGCAGGGGCGACGCGGGCATCCCGGGTCCCGCCAGCACCCGCCCACACCCAGCTCACCCATGGAGGCAATGATGCTGTGCACAGGCAGCCTCGAGGGCCCCTGGTACCGCGCCTGCCCTGCGAGGCCGCGCTGCTTCTGCCTCTCCTCCTGCCGGAAGATGAAGGCCGAGTTCTCCTCCTTGGTGATGTTGATGTAGAAGCAGGTGTCCGAGGCAGCCAGGATGTGGCGCGGGCCCGGGTTTAGCAGGATGCTCTTGTTGTCCTCGAGCTTCATCCCGATGAGGCACACGCCATACCTGGGCACGCAGAGCAGCCCTGCAGCTCCTGGGCACCTGTGCCCGACCCGTGCAGAATCCCATGCACCCTGGCCTGGTGTGCGGGCCCTGTGGGCCCAGTGAGCTGCCCCTCTCCTACCCGGGGTCTGCAGTCCCTGCCCTGGCCCTGAGAGCCCAGCCGGCCCTTCCCGCACCCCGGGCCGCACGTACTTCTTGTGGGCGTGGAAGGCCGCGTAGGTGAAGCTCTTGCCCTCGTACTCGCGGAAAAACTTGCTGTCGCCCATGCGGATGTGGTAGACCTCATTGCCCGAGCAGCGCCCATACATGCGCTGCCACTGCTCCGGGGACTCCTGTCCTTCCCTGGCAGTGGAGCGGCGCAAGGGGACAGTCACTGCGGGGCAGGACCCGCAGTTCCCCACCCGCCCCTGCACCTCTCCTCTGGAGACCCCATACAGGAAGCAGCTGCGCTCAGGGCCCTGCCTTGTCCCCAGGTTGGTGGGGTGAGGCGGTGGGCGCTGGGTGCAGGGCACTCACTGGCCGCGGGACGTGTGCACCAGCAGGGTGATGAGGGTGGAGGTGGCCGGGCACACGCAGTTCAGGGCCAGCATGGCGAACTTGCACTCCTCCTCACACACCACGTGGTCTAGGACAGAGGTCAGAGCCGTGTGCTCTCTCCACCCAGTGTGCACGCCAAGCCCTTCCCAAGCTCCCACCCCCGTTCCGGGCCTCCTGGTGCCCCGGGCCCTGGCGCGTCCAGCTTCCTGGCACCTCTGTAGTCCCCAGCTCTGCCCAGAGCTCCGGGATGCCTGGCCCTACCCACCTGTCCCCGTGCCCAGCCCAGGCCTGCCCATAAGGCTGCCTGTCACACTGCTGTGCCTGCACTCTGCTCTGGCCCCAGGCGACACTGCCCCAGATGTGTGCACATGGAGAGTCTGTGTCCCTGCGATCCCCACAGGCGTCCACAAGCCATGTGTGGTGGGGCTCCGCCCTCCCACCCGCCTGGCCGGGGTACCTGCAAACTTGACGTGGAACTTGTTCTCGGGCTTGAGGATCTGCACGTACAGGGGGCAGTTGGGGGCAAAGTCCTTCACAGCCCAGGCGCGCAGGATGGTCTGGTGGTCCTGGGGGAGGCGGCCGTGTTGGTGGGCGGGCTGTGCAGGCCCGCGGCCCCACCCCTGCCTCGGCGGCCTCACTCACCGCTGCCGTGCGGTCCACCTCGTTCCGGCTGCTGAGGATGAAGCAGGCCTCCCCGTTGTCCATCCTGCAGGGCAGCGGCTGCTCACAGTGGCCATGCAGGGAGGCGGAGGCGAGGGCAGCCTCAACCTCCAACCTCCCTGCCTGTCCAGGCACATTCAGGGCAGCCAGGCTGCCCAGACACCCGCAGGAGAGCGAACCTCAGGCACTGAGCAAGGCACAGGAGCCAGGCGGCTGGGGGCTGCGCGGGGCACTGACTGCCCTCTGGCTGGATCCAGCCTTCAGCCTCCAACGATAGGGCGCCGGGGTCAGGGGTCGCGGCTGGAAAGGGTGTTGAGACCCCCGCCTCACTGTGTGTGCACCCCCTAAGCCCTGGCATGGCTGAGCTTACTGGGGACGTCGTCCAGCTTCCAGATCCTGTCCCTCGAGTCGCCATCAACCCGAGGCTCGAGGAGGCCATGGAAGCTGCGGGTAGAGCCTGTCCTCCCTCCACCTGGCTGCACTGCAGTGACCAACACTGTTCCCCACACCGGCCAGCCCCACTGCAGCCCACATGGCCCTGGTGCCTCCCTGCCCAGCTGGACACCTACTGCACCTGCCTGCAGCCCACAGCCAGACACAGGCAGTGCATGGCTGCACAGGGGCGTGGACAGGACCAGCAGGGGCCTCGTCCAGCGGGGCCTCGCGCCCGCTCAGTGAGGGACCCTGCGCTGGCGTCCTGGTGCCTGTGGCCCCACACAAGCCATGCCATGTGAGGGGAGGGGACACTCCTGGAGTAAAAGCTCATGCTGTGGGGGGCTTGAGGGGCCCCAGGAAGAGCGCCGCACATTCTGGAAAGTTCCCAGAGCAGCTCGCCCTCGCCCTTGCACCTGCACCCGAGTCTCTGTCGACTCCTCTAAAGCGAGATCCATCCTTACCGGCTCCAGCAGCTGCCCGCCCCCCCGCAATCCATTCTGAGCTCTGGGGAACTCAACATGGAAACTCCCAGACTCACACAGGGGTGGGGGCTCCCTGGGCAGCCCCGCTGCCCCCCACCTGTCCAGGCCCATTCCCCCCACCACACCCCTGCAAGCCAGGCTGCCCCCAGCTGCGCCTGCACTTACTTGGCCCGCATGAGGTCCTGGTCCTTGAGGGCGGAGCCCTGGAGATAGATGACCCGCTGGGACCACAGGGGGATCTGCAGGACTCTGCGCACCTGGATGTCCATCTCAGTGGGGCACAGGATGACCACGTAGTAGTCCTGCCGACCGGGCTGCAGGTCAGGGCCCCACGGCTCCTGCCAGCCCTGTCCCTTGCGCAGGATCCCACGGACCCCAGGTCTGGAGCACAGGACTTGCCAGGCAGACAGCAGGCCTGGGCGCCCGCCCTACCTGCAGCCGGGGGTGGGCGTAGAACTCGTTCAGGAAGTCCATGAGGAGGTCGATCTTGAGGGAGCTGACACACAGCACCACGTGCTTCTCCGTCTGCGCCCGGTGCCGGCTATAGTTGCCCCCCGATTTCTGCCGCTCCATCCAGAGGAAGACGAGCTCCTCAAACTGCAGGGGGTGAGGGGTGACTGTGGGCGCAAAGGAGGGGCGCCAGAAGGGTGGGGACGCAGGTGCTGACCCAGACACCCCATGCAGGCTCGGCCTGCCAGGGATCACGGGGACAGGGACAAGCATCCTGCTGGAGCAGGACCAGGAGACGGCCCTGGACACGGCCACATGGGATCCGCAGGGTGCAGAGCAGATGGTGTCCACCTCTGGCACACGGCCACGGAGACGCAGTGGGTCCAGAGCCTGGTCTCTGATGCCAAGGCGTGAGTCGACACCAGGCCTGGACCTGGACACCAGGCAGCCCCAAGACCCTGCTATCCCTTTCATCCTGGGCTTGCCTGGGAGCAAACCAATGGCTGCTAGGAGTCTCAGGCCCTGGGGCGGGCTGGAGGGAGGGAGTGATGTCTCTCTGGGTGGACAGGAGTCAGGCTTCTGATCTATGGGCGGGGCCCACAGGGGCGCTGACCCCACCAGGCCCAGTGCCTGCGTCTGAGGGTGACGGGTGCAGCCTTTCTGCCCATAGTGCTGAGCCCACCCACGTGTCCAGCCCACTCCCGAATGGACGGTGCTGTGGCCCCTTTGAGGGTCACACAGATGCTGGCGGCCACTGCTCCCGTGGGAGGACTTGCAGCCATCTCCACCGTGTGCCGCTGGGTTGCTGAGCCCACTGCCGCCTCCCTAGCCCAGCGACGAGCTTGTGTGGGCCCAACAGCCACGCCTCCAGGAGAGGCTCGGGCGGGTGGGGGGCACTCCACTTCCAGCACCCTGGGCCCGAGTCCCTTCTCACAGGCAGCTGACTCAGCCTGTTTCACCAAATGTTAACAAAACGTGTGTGCTTGCCTCGGGGTGCGGTGAGGATTAAGTGAGTTAAAGAGGTTCAGCAGTGACCCCAAGACTCCCAACTGCCCAGAGCCTCAGGTGTCGACACAAGGTCATCAGGAATTAGGGCCACCAGGAGCTGGGTGGCAGCGGAGGGCCCCGCTGCTCAAAGCACCCACCAGCCTGACACTGAGGCCCACAAGCCCAGCCCCGAGCCAGGAGGTTCTCGGCAGACACCAGCTGTACCAGGAAGGTACCTCTGACCTCAGGGAGAACAGTGGGCTGACACGCACTGGCCCTTATGTCCCTGAAGAAGCCTTGAGGGAGATAGGAAGCTGCCCACATGCTGGGGTCAGCCACTCACTGACAAGTCCTGGCTGCTGCCAGCGCTGGGTGGGACGCTCCTGGACCCCACCTGTCCCTGAATGCCTGACCCGGCCCTAGGACACAAGGCAGGATGCTACTCTGCTCTCCTGATGCTTCTAGGGCCGCGGTTCCCCCCTCTGCTGTGAGCAGCCACGTCCCAAAGGGTGCAAGAGAGAAGGAACAGGGCCATCGCCACCCAGGGGCCCCTGCCGTGAGTGCTGACCACAGCAGCCCCGCCTGCGGAGGCCGCCGGGTATGGCCAGCGTTACTGGGAACCCCTCACGACCACAGCCCTTTCTTCTGGGTTTCCCTGAAGACGGCTGGGTGAGAGGGTGGTGGCTCCGGGGCTCCTAGAGAAGACAGGACAGGGACATTGGGACAGAGGGGCGCAGCCCAGGCCTGGGCACAGTGGAGGGACACAGAGAGCTGGACCTGCACAGCCAATTTAGGTTTTGATTAAATGGGAACAAATCAGGCCTGGTTCAACCGAGATTCCGCAGCTACAGAAGGGCCTGGGCCCGTCCTCATGTGGGGGAAGGGTGGCTGGAGCACCACAGAGGGCGGTCAGCTGGGGACGCAGCACTGTGAGTTCCAGAAACGACTTAGTTTGAGTGCCCAGCGCCTCTAGAAAGCAGGCTTCTGCCCATTTCCTGGGAAACGGCCCTGGGGTTCACCGAGGAGGGTGCTGGTGGAGCAAGGCCAGGGCAGAGCCAAGGACACCTGGGGCCCACCCTGTCTTAGACCCTGGGGCACTGGCTTTAGACATGGCCCTCAGAGCTGTGCAGGACCAAGTCTGTGTTTTAAGCCGCTGGGGTGTTGCTGTCTGTGTTGGTGGCCCTGGGAGCCCCTCGGACATGGGAGTTACCCAAGGCAGGACATTGGGGTCCGCCAGGGAGAGGGAGACCTCGAAGCGTAAGGACTGCAAAGGAAACCTCACTCCTCAGGGACAGGGCTGTCAACTACAGGAAAAGCCCCTGACCAGCAGAGCTTGCCATATCCCCCTGCGCCAAGGGGCACACAGAGCCTCCCTCCTACCACGCCAGCGTCTTCTGGGCGGCTGCCACCCTTTTAGGAAGAAATGGGAGGCTAGGGCTCAGGACGGTCTTTTCAGAGCAGACAGGAAACAGAACCTCGAAGGGAAAGGTCGGGACACTGGGTGCAGCAGGCTCCAACGTGTCCATAAAGGGGAACTCACAAACACAGCAGTGCCTGCAGACAGCACACACAGAGACCATGAGGCCGATGCGAAGGGTGGGACAGGCTGCAGAAGAAAGCACCTGCCCCCGGTATCGGACGACAAGGGCAGGAATGCAGAAAGCTGCCTACACTGCGGCTGCCTCAGATGGGGGGACCCGGCCGGCTCTGCCTCAGACCTCAGAGGCAAAGGCCCCAGCCCAGCACTGCTGCGAGGTCCCTGCCGTCCTGGGCATCCCAGGCAGAAGACCCCGTGGCACAGCCTCTGCCAGCTCCAGACGAGGACACTTGGGGTGGAGGCGGGCACTGCTCCAAGAAGCTGAGGGTCAGCAGCCCCCTCCTAGTGCCCCAGGCACCCTGACAACTGCTGCCGCACCTGGCTGTGGTCAGCAGCACAGTAGCTGACTCCCACCCGTCCTGTGCCTCTGCCCCTGTCCTGGTGTGGTCACCCAGCACCGAGGGGCCCCCATGTCCTGCAGAGGCAGGGCCTGGGCTGTTGGCCCTCGTCCTCTGCACCCCCAGCACCAGCAGCCTCACAGTGCTGCTGACTCACGGAGTCACCCGGAGCCCTCACAGAGCACACTGCCCAGCCGGGAGCGGCCTGCCTGTCCCCACGGCCCCACGGCTCCACTGGCCCTCACAAGGCGGGACCAACCTGCAGCGGAAGCACCACGAGGGCCACGCAGATCATGATGACCACCAGCAGCTGCGACGGCCAGATCTTGGGCGTGACGTCGCCGTAGCCCACAGTGGAGAAGGTGACAATGCAGAAGTAGAAGGAGGTCAGCAGGTCCAGGTTCTCGCCGGCGCGCTCCAGGTGCTGGATGCCGCAGGTCCTGGGGCCAGGTCACCATGAGGGGAGGGGCCGGCGAGGGTGTGGCCTGGCCCAGCACCCTCTGCCCGGATGCAGCCCTGATGCTGGGTCTGAGTTCAGCCTGGGGACCCCTTCATGTCCTCCGTTCCGAGCAGCACCCAGCCCCCAACCCTGGAACCAGCTCACACCCTCGGCTGGATGTGGCCTCAGCTCCAGAGGCAGCTCTGCCCCCAACCCACCTGCACAGCCTCAGACCCCCACAAGGGCTCTGCCGCCCGGGCCGCATCCTCCGGCACCACTGTGCCCATGAGCGGCTGTCCCTGGGGCACCGGCACCCGCTGCCGGACTCACCCCGTGAAGACCAGGCAGAGCAGGGTGCAGAAGAGGATGAGGACCTGGTTGAACATGGCCGACTGCGTCCGCAGGATGGCACGGTGGAAGTCGTTCTGCAGGCGACACGTGTCAGGGGCAGCGCCGGGACCCTGCCCCAGCACACAGCAGGGAGGGAGCTCTGGCAGAGGGGGCCAGGTGCCACCTCCCCCAGTGAGGACACAGGGCAGCCCTGACCTCGGTGTCTTCCCAGGACCCCCTTCCCAGCCTGTGCCCGGCCAGCGGCCATGGCCTGAGCCTCTCACTTTTCCCTGCAGCCAGGCTGTCCAGGCCTTGGAGCCGGGCCGGGCTGGGGATACCGGGGCTGCCTTTCCCAGGGGGCAGGCCAGGCTCTCCTGGGTCCTGGGGGAGAGCTGGAGCCCGGCTCTCCTGTCCCTGGCACCTGTGGCCTGGCCACCCAGGTTCCTGCCTTCTTTCCTGCCCCCTCCCAGCCCTTCCCTCCAGAGAAGGAAGTTGGAGGCATGCCAGGCGAAGGCCTGCGTGGGGACACAGGCACGCCTTACGATCATGTTCTCCAGCGCGTGCTTGGCCAGCCAGCAGTTGAGGAACACGGGGATGAACAGGTTCCGCAGCGGCGACCAGAAGACCTGCGGGTGAGGTGGGTCAGGCGGTGCAGGTGCGCGGTGGGGCGGGCAGGCGGCAGGCGGCTTACCCACCGTGATGATGAAGGGCAGTGTGTTAATCATCTCCAGGACAAAGGACACACGGAAGATCTGTTCCCAGATGTTGCCCTGGGGGTCACGGGGGTTCAGAGCCTGTGGGAGAGGACACGGGACGGGGCGGGGGTGCGGGGCAAAACCAAGCCAGGACGGCAGGGGCTGGCACAGGCAGGGCGGGTGGGCAGGCGCTGACCTTGTAGCTCAGGTAAATGAGTAGCATGGTCTCCAGGAAGCTAATGGTGGCCACGATGACCTGGGGAGGAGGGAGAGGCGCACGGTGGTCAGGAGGCCAATGCCTGGCCCACACAAAGAGAGATGCCGGTCCTGCCGGGGACAGTCCGCCACAGCCACTGCCCAGATCCCCCCTAACAGACAGGGGCGCCTGAGGTGCACAGGGCACTGGGGAGTCCCGTCCTGCCTCTCTGGAGGTGTGGGGTCAGGAGGGAGCCCCCCCCACACAGGCCCCATGAGCCCCCTGGCTGCTCTGGGGCAGGCACTGCGGCCCCCCCTGGTCCCCGGGGGAGGCCTGGCACCTGGTCAGAGCCAGTGTGGCCCACGGAGACGGGAGCAGTGGCAGAGCTGAGAGGGTGCCCTCAGGAGTTGGCAGGAAGACAGGAGGGTGGGGAGGAGGGGAGGGCAGAGCCTGGGGACACGCGGGAGAGGGCTGGGCCCGAGGCCCACTGTGGGGCGGGGGCACTTACCTGGATCACCCACAGTGTCATCTTCCTCTCCACCCACAGGATGGGGGCCCTGGGGAGGCAGGGAGGCGAGCCTCAGCCAGGAGCACAGCCAGGCCCAGGACGGACAGCACAGCGGCGGGGCCACAGCTAGATGAGCAGACGTTCCCCAGACGGACCCCAGACGGACCCCCAGGCCCTGGCCTCAGCTGAGCAGGTTCACAGCGGCGTGGGGCTCCCTGGAGTGGTCACCCCCTCCACCCACCCTGTCCACCCCACCTGGCCCTGCCCTGAGGGGCCTGGCACGTGGGCGGGGTGAGCTCACCAGTTGATCTCAGAGGATGAGGCATTGAAGGTGTAGTTACGCTTGGTGCAGCCCCAGCTGTGGAGACACACAGTTCTGGCCCAACCACAGCCTGGCCAGCACCGACCCCAAGGGTCCTTCCGGGGGCTGTGGGCTCAGGGGTCAGGGAGCACCCGGGTGTCCACCCTGTGCCTCTGCAGGGTCTGTATGCTGGGCTGTAGCTGAGATGGGGCGGGGGCCATAGCTGAGGAGGGAGGGGTGAGCCCAGCTCATGGGAACATGTCCTACATCGAGGGGCTGCCCCCGACACCAACAAGCTCTCAGGAGGCGCTGGCCATCCAGAGATGGAGCCAGCGGCTGCCCCAACAAGGCTAGGTGCAGTCCCAACAGCCATCCACCCGCCCATTACCCATCTACCTACTACTCCATTCTCTTACCCAATATCCATCCTTTCACTTTATTTTTTTCCAGTACTGGGAATAGAACTCACGACCTTGCGCTTGCCAGGCAGGCGCTATACCACTGAGCTAAATCCCCAGCCCCCATCCTTTCACTTTTTTTTTTTTTTTTTGGTCTTTCTGAGACAGGGTCTCGTTATGCAGTTCAGGCAAGCCTTGAGCTCACTTTGTAGCTCAGGCTGGCCTCAAACTTGCAGTGAGTCTCCTGCCTACCAAGTGCTGGGATTACAGGTGTGCACTGTCATGCCCGGCTTCATCTCTTATTATCCCATCCATTCATCCACCCATCAACCCCTCTACCCACTCATCCATTCACTCATCCACCCACCCATCCACCCACCCACCCATCCATCCATCCATCATCCATCCACCTACCCATCCATTCACCCATCTATCCCCCCATCCACCCACCCACCCATCTATCCATCATCCACCGATCCACCCATCCATCCTTGCCTATCCCCCACTACCCACATTTCCTCTCCAGTGTTCCTCTGGTCATCTCTTATCACCATCCAGTCATCCACCCCTCACCGTGTATATGGTGTATATGTGCCACCCACTCATCCAAGCCACAATTATCTAACACCTACTTCTCATCTCTCCCCCATCCATCTACCCCCCTACCATCCACCCCCCAATCACCCACCCCTCCACCTCTCTACCGTCCGTCATCCACCCATCCACCCTCCATCCATCACCCACTCACTCCCCACCTTCCCACCCAGCACCCACACAGTAGGCATTGTGCTAGAGACAGGCAATGAATACAACATGCTGAGACCCCTGGGGGGCTGAAGCAGAGCCTGGGAACCCCTGGGGCTTGGAGAAGGCCACAAGGACCTGGGAAGCTGCGTTGAGAAGCAGTCAGAGCCCCTTTGCTCCTTCTCCACCCCCACGGCGGCCTCTTCTCTCCTATGGCCGGGGTTGTTCTCCACAACGGTGGGGCCTGGCCTGGGAGCACCAGGGCCCCTGGGAGTGGGAACAGATGACAAGAGGGACTAAGCAGAAGTGTGAGAGTGAGGCCTGGCCTGGCCTCTCCCAGCCCTGAGGGGACCACGTGCTGGTAGCATCCCCAGATGGCCCAGCAGCCGCAGCCACCTGTGGCCACTCTTAAAAGACCAACAGCTGCAAGGGTCATGAGGCCGGGGGAAACCCATGAAGTGTAGATCAGGGCGGGGGAATGGACGGAGCAGAAGGGGAAGCAAAGGGCAGGGCCAGCTCGCCCAGAGGCCGGAAAGCAGGCGGCCTGGGGCGGGAATGGCCCTGCCACTGCCATCAGCGAGCAAGGGACAGGAGGACCAGCACCAGGCCCAGGCCAGGGCACATGGCAGGAGGCCATCTCCAGGGATGCGGTTCCTGGCACCCTGGACTGACAGGCGTGGAGCTGTGTCCAGCACCCCTGGTACAGAGCCAGGCAGCTTCCGGTGGACGAAGCCTCCCCCAAGGAGCAGAGCTGGGGGCCGCACCAACTGCTCATGCAGCAGTAGCTGCTGAGGACCGCAGAGAAGACTGGACAGGTTCCCGCCTCCCTCCCTAGATGCCTGGGGGGCCCTGGGCTGCAGGTGCCGCTTCCTTCATGTGGAGGGCGTGAACACCATGGGTCCCCAGGGGTCAGACAGGGCCTTCAGAGATAGAGGGAGCCCACGGGCCTGCATCCCGCTTTGGGAGCTTCTGGGGACCCCCACACTGCCCCACAGACTGGGGTGCTGTGAGGCCCATGAGGGCCCGGACCCTCCACCTTCCAACCCAGGACCAGCTGCAAAGCACCCTGGACAGGACCCCTCTCCACCCTGGGCGCCATCCCGGCTCTGTTGGGGGCTGGGCACTGGGCCTGGGGTCGCCTGGGGCTGGGGGCTGGTCATGGTTGCCTCCCAGACAGGCTCAGCCCCAGGACCCTGCCTGCAGGGCCCCCCGTCACCCACCATCCGATCCCCAGGGCCGGGTTGTCCAGCAGGACGCGCACAATGTAGAGCAGGCAGGTGAGCAGCTTGAGCGAGAAGTTGAACAGCCGGATGCGCAGGCCTGCGGGCGGGAGCAGCGTCACCCCAGCTCGGGCAGCGGGGCCCCAGGTTCCTGGCACCCTGGACTGGTGGGCTGGGCTGACCCCCACAACCCTGGGCTGCCCCGGAGAGAGCGGGTGGCTGCAGGACTTCTGGGGGGCCAAAGGTGCACGAAGGCCCAGGGTGCAGGGGTCCCTGAGGCTGCTCTGCTCCATGGGGGCTCTGCCTAGGGGAGCAGGCAGGGGCGTGGAGGAGCATAGGCCCTCTGGGCGCTCCCTGTATCGGGCTGGGAGGAGAATGGAGGGGACAGGAGCCCTCCTCGAGCCCCCCACTGCGGTCCAGCTGGGTGACAGCATTCTCAGGTCTCAGCCCTGCCTCCCTGCCAATGTGCTGCTCTCCGGAAGCGGAAGGCGCTATCCCCTGTGCCCACTCTGAGCGGCACAACTGGTGCTCTGCCCCACCCACCGCCAGCCCCGATGGTCCCACTCACTGGATCTTTGGTTTTTGATGAAGAACAGCTTCAACCGCTCCTTGAAGGTGTTTTCGTTCACATAGAACTCCACCTGGACCCTGGGGGCAGGACAGATCAGGTCCAACCAGGCGTGGCAGGCAGCAGGGAGAGCCCGAGCCCAGCCGAGGGCTGTCCCCTAGCTGCACACGGAGGAGCCAGCCCCTTCCCCACGCAGGTGGCTGGTGTGGGCAGGAAGGGACCGGGGTGACACTCAGCCAGGTGCCTTCCACAGCACAGCAGGGTCACGTAGGAAGGGGAGGGACAGAACTGCAGGCCGGGGGTGTCCCAGGGCTGCGTGGAGGAGGCCACCAGCTGTGTACAGTGCAGGTGAGGCAACACCAGCCCAGGTCACTGTCCCCACCCTACCATCGTCCCCGGGCAGGTGGCTCCGAGAGCCGGGCTGTGGGCACCGCTCCCCTCTATGGCGCCGCCTCCACCCAGCCAGTGGAAGAGTCCAATGCCCCTGCATGGTGCGGCTGGCTGCCCTCTTATCCACAATGGAGTCTGAAAGGCACTGCCCCAAGCGAGAGGCAGTACGGGGTGTGGCTGCCGCGGCCCTGCCGGGGCGGGAGACACGTCAGCCCCACAGGCGCTGCTGTCCCGGGCTCTGGGACTCTCAAGCGCCTTTCTCACTGAAGGAGCTGGGCCATGGCTAGGGGGATAGGCTAGCGGTCAGGGTCTCAGCAGTCGGGACCCAAGTCAGGAGCAGCCTGGGGCAGGACTCCTCTTGGGCCTGGGCCCGACGCCTCCGCAGCACCGCCTCGCTGCCAGGTCTCCAAGACAAGCTGCACGCTCAAAGCAGCTTCGGAGCTTCCGGGCCCCTCTTCTGCCTCCTCCCCACGGGGGGCCTTGCGCGCCTCTGTCTGCTCCCTCTGCCTCTCCACTCAGCCTCCCCAGGGGACCTCTTGGAGCCCCCACTCTGTGTCCTCTGACCCCCACATGGGCATACAGGGCTGGGCATGGGTGCCAGCTGGAGCCCCCTGGACTGTGAGCCTAGCTCCTGCCCTGGCCTCTCCTGGCTGGCTGGGACATGCTCCAAGTGTCCCTGGCCGCTGTCTAATCGCACTGTGGGGCAGGCAGAGAAACCTGATGGACTCCGGGAGGTGACAGGGCTGGCTAAGGTCACGGCGCCATGGTCCAGCCCTGGTGGCTCTACAGGAAGATGGCCGGGTCCTGGGTGCATGTCCCTCGCCATGGGAAGCCAGGCCACCTCTGGCCTCTGCCACCAAGATGGCTGTCAGATGAGCCCTGGACCCTGGGCCTCTGGACCCATGAGCCCAAACCCTTTTAACTCACGTGTCACTGGTGGCAGAGACAGGGCCGGTGCACTCCCCGGAACCGCGCTCTCCACTCCTGACCCTCCAGCCCTCCTGTCCACAGCCCTGTCTGGCACATGCCGGGACCTGGACTCCAGGTCCTCCCAGGTGTCCACTCTAGGCAGGACAGAGCCCAAAGCCCGCCCTTCGGCTTCAGTGCTGGCCTCCCTGGACAGCTGGACACCACCTGTGGGGCACTCCTGCCCACCTAGCTCAGGCTGACCTCCGCCCTCTGGGCTGCAGCCCCAAGGCACCCATCGAGCCTCCCCTCCCAGGTCGGTCACGGCTCCACCTTGACCACCTGCTGGATACAGGTTCCCCAGCTCCGGGCACAGCACCCCATGCCCACCGCCACTTCCTGCCCCATCAGTCCCCACCAGCTCCTAGGCTCCTGCTCCTTCCCTTCGCCTGCCCTGACCCTGGGTCTGGCCCTGAGCCGCCACCTAGAGACCAGGAGCTGTGCGTCCCAGTGAGCACAGCCGGGAAATGAAGACAACGCCGTGATGGCTGCATCCTCCCCAGGGCTGGCGCAGGGTGGTGACATCCCTGCCCAGGCACTGAGGGGGTCGGCGTGGACACCATCTGCCCAGTCCCCAGGGCATGGGGACAGCGCCCATCTCAGGATGGGGAAGCCACGGGCCAGCAGCTTGGCCCCCGAGGTCTAAGCCCTCCGATGCCAGGCAAATTAATGAAGCCGCCTTCGCTTTCCATTTTTAATGAACTGTGGCAGCCCACTTCTGCTGAACCACCACAAACAGTAGATTAATGCTACCCATTCTCCTGGGGTGTATGAGGCGAAGGTGTGCAGGCCGCCAGGATGGGGGCAGCGAACGGAGCTCAGCGGGGTCAGCTCCCGGCCCCTTCTGCACCCCGGGCTCATGGGCACCACCAGCCCTCCCAGTATCCCGAACAGTGCTGGGCTGGCAGCCGGAGTCCCAGCATTGAGACCAGCACCCACGGGGAAGCCCGGCCTGCTCCCACCCTACCCTGCTCCTTCTCCTGGAAAATAGGACCCACCCACGGCGTCACGAGGGCGCTGGCAGGGGAGGAGCTTTGTCAACGGTGAGGTGAGAATGAGCTGTGTGGTGGGCTCGGGAGGACGCGTGACCGGCAGTTGGCAGGTGCAGTGGAGCCGTGTGGGCTGGGCCTGCTCTGCATCACATGGCTGCACAGGGTAGCACCACACCCCGCCCCAGCAGGACCAGTGGGGCAGGACAGGGAGGACCTGGAGGAGGGGGCGGGTAGCAGGCGGGGGCGGCGTCGACTCTGCTGGTGGCCCAGCCCCCACGCACAGAGACCCCACCCCCGCCCAGCCTGCGTGCTCCCGTCACCTGTCACCTGCTCTGAGAGCTGTGTGCTCTGGACCCAGTTTGGGTGATGGGGTGGGCAGGGGCTCTGCTGCTCCTCCTGGGCCCAGGCCACCTCTCCAGGCCACCTGCTGTCCCGGGTAGGCCTGCTGCTAGGGACGCCAGGCCCTAGTCCCCAAGAGCCCTACAGCAGGTGAGGGTATCATCTGGGAATGTGGGAGGGAGGGTTCCAGGCGGCTTTCGGGGTGAGGAGAATGAAATTCTCAGATGGCCCTGGCCTGGCTCTCCCTGCAAGTCAGACTTTCTGGGACCAGCTGACTCCTGTTCTGGCCTCGGGCCACTGAGGGTCCAGAGCCATCTGCTCCAGCCACACATGGTCCATATACCCCACAATCTGGGGCCCAGTTCTGCAGGGTGGGGACAGCCCTGTGGGTGGTGGGCACTGCTACCCACAGCCCCATATGAGTGCAGGCAGGGCACCCCAGCCACAGCCTGGCAATGGCCCAGGGCTCTGGGGGATGACACGACAGGCCTGGCCCTCGCAAAGGAGGCACCTTACACACTAGTGACACCGCTGCCCACTGCCAGCCACGGCGTTCACTAATGAAACGCACAGTGCGTGTCCCGCTGAGAGCCACAACGCCTTGGCCCGGAGCAGGGTGCACTGGGGTGCTGGCTTGCCCACCTCAGAGCACCTGAAGTCTCTGGGCCTAACCCTTGGCTGAATCCCAGCCAAGGGCCTTCACCCTGCACCAGCAGCAGAAGGTGCTGAGACCAGGCCCAGGAGCCTGCGCTCGCAGTCCCCGTGCTGCCCTCTGGCTGCTCCTGGCAGCACGGCCACACTGTGGGCGGGGCCTTCCCCCCCAACTCCTCCCCAAGGGACCACTCATCTTCCCATCCCCCCACCCCTGTGCCGGGGATGCTGGTCAGCCTCGCTGTGGCCCTGTCTGGACAGAGCAGACTCTCCCATGAGATTGGTCTACCAGGGCGTGAGGACATCTCTGTCCCCAAGTGAGCCCCTCTCTTCAACGCACTTACTGGGAGAGGGAGGAGTCCAGGCTGAAGTCTTCCACCTGCACCCTGGGACACAGGGTAGACGTCAGTTCAGGAGGCAGCAGGTGGGGTGGCCTCCAGGCCAGGTCGGGGGCCCGGGTAGGGTCCGACCAGAGAGCCACCCCTGGGGGGGCAGGAATGCCAGAGGAGCCCAGCATGCAGGTGGGCAGAAGCCAGGCCTGACCCACAGCCCCAGGCCACCCCACTACCGCTGTCACATGCAGCCCCTGGCAGGAGGCTGGCCCAGCTCCAGCACACCAGGACCATTGCCCTCCGCTGCTCAGCGCCAAGCATGCCCCAGGCTGGCACCACCCAGGAAGCAGCGGGTGGCAGAGCAGCCCCCATACAGGGCCGTGGAGTTCACCATCTGCAAGGCAGTCTGTGCCCCCCAGAGATCAGGGGACACCGGGCCGGGAGCCGATGCTTGTTGGGGGACTAAGGTGCACCCCTCCACCAAGCCAGATGGGGCAGCACAGCCCCGGGGTTCCCAGATGGCTGGCGGACAGCCGACACTGAGGGTGGGGTATGTACTGGACAGGGGCCTGGGCAGAAGGTGTGGGTCTCAGCCCTTAGTGACCAGGGCTGTCCTGGACCAGCTCCTCAGGAGGACTCCAGAGTGGCCTCTCTCTTAACCCCCAAAGCAACCTCTTTCTGTGGGCGGAAACGGGGTCCAAGAGCGCTATACTCCCCAGTGTCATGCGGGCAGGAAGGAGGGACGGGCCTGCCCACTCACTGAGTGTCCCGTGTGGTGGGGCAGCAGGCTTCCTCCCAGTACCCCTGTCTGGCCGCTCCCGCTCCCCAAGTAGATGAAGTAGAGACTGTACACAGCCCTGGTCAGCCAAGGTCCTGGCAGGGGCGGCAGCAGTCAGTGGCCTGAGCCCTGGGCCACAGGGCTTCTAGCAGATTCTTGGAGTTTGCCCAGGCAAGGTTCTGCACCAGGCCCCAGGCTGTCCTGACCTCTGAGCTGGGGTGAGGGCGGCGGCAGGGTCGGCAGGGGTCATAGTGGAGCCAGGGACTCCTACCACCTGGCCTGGGGGCCCAGATCCCAGAGAGGCTGTGGTCCTAACTCTGCTCCCCAGAACAGCTGAGCCCTATCTTCATGAGGCCTCTGGTCTCTTGAGCCATCTGGGGTGGTACCTCGGGCACAAGCAGGGCGAGCCCTCTCGACCCCAGGACAGCCTGACCGGAAGCCTCCTGCTCACACCCTGTGCTCTGCCCCAGGCCGAGGCATGGGCCCTTTCCCGCAGTGTCACTCGGCCTGGGCTCACACTGCAGGGGGCGGGGGGAGCCCACACGTCCCCTAGGAGGGACAGCGGCCCACAGCAACAGGCTCAGTAAACGTGACTCGGTACCACCCAGCACCTCTGCAGCCGCCTGCAGCGC